CCAGAAACTGACCTTCAAGATTGATGTCACGGGTAGGACATTCCTTGACTGAATTACTGGAGAGGATAATAAAATAACAACTGTAATAACTATTACACTGTGAGTCAGTTGCTACAGTCTGAGTTTTAGTCCAGACTGTAGAGTTCACCTGATGTTCTGTACCTTGTTGCCTGGATTTGTAGAAATGGGGATATTGGGCTTTAGCATAGCACAAAGGCTTATCTCATCCTTAGTTGGGCTGTATAATAATAGTTGCAGATATAGATATAATAGAAGTATCGATCAGCATATTATTCGTATCTCTCCCATTCCTGGGATCCCAAAGGGTAATTTGTGTGCATTGACTCTCTTGAAAGGAATGAGCTATTCAATCCCAAAGGGTAATTTGTGTGCATTGAAAGGAATGAGCTATTCGAAAATCCTTTTCTTGTTAGAATTCCCATTCCATTTTGGAAGACCTAGAGGCTGGAATATGTTTTGTCTTTGTAGTATCAGCAGAAGCACAAGACAGGTTGAAACCAGCACATTTTCTGAATTTGGGCTGTTGTGTGATTGAGATCTCAGCTTTCTAGATGTTGCACTACTTCTGCCAGGTCCTAAATGCCCCTTTGCTGTGAAAGATTCCAAGAAATTGGTATTTTGGAACAGAATTCACATGGTACCCAAACTGCTCTAAGTATGTGATGCTAAAAGGAGTGTTGACATTGCAACAACCTTGAGGACCTTGCCAGCCATGATCCTGAGCTACTTGGACCCTGTAGGGGGGTTGTGTTTCCTTTGTACCTTTGACAGTCATGTTCTGGACAGTGGAAGACATTATGAAGGATCTGTTCCAGAACCCCATAGTGCTATATTGTGTCCTGGATCTTGAGTAAAAGGAATTTGGGAGCTTTTGGTGATATGCAGGGAAAATGTTCTTCAACAGTGTTTGAATGGGTTTATCCCAACCATGGCAGTGTTCAAAGCCAGTTTGGGTAAAGCCTTGAGCTACTGGGTGTAGCGGGAGGTGTCCCTGCCCATGGCAGGGAGATTGGGACTAGATGATCTGTAAGGTCCATTCCAACCCCTTAACTTAGTATGATACTATGAATTAATTATTTTTTTACATGGTGCCTTGCAAATGTAGGATTGATGTCGAGGACCCTCTTGGTCCTTTCCATTCCTAGGCTACTGGTTCCCAATTTTCCACATCGCAATTCAGTCACACAGTAGGGTAGATATTGCCCAGTGATGATAAATGGTTTGTCAAGTGGTAGCCTAAATATTTTCCAAACCTGTGCGCAGAAATCTGTAAGATTGATCTCATTTTAGTCCCTCAATCAATATTTTCTTCCCTTTCTACCCTCAGAGCCCAAACCTGCATTTATAAACCAGGAAAAGGTCCCGAAGGAGGTGAATGCTATCCTGGCAGAAAGTGCCACCCTCAGCTGTGAGGTAGCAGAGGATGCAACTGAAGTGAAATGGTACAAGGATGGAAGACTGCTTGTTTCCTCTAGAAAATTCAAAATAGAAACTGTGGGCAAAACTCGACGCCTAGTTGTAGAGCAGCTGGAGAAGAAAGATGCTGGGGAATATGTCTGTGAGGCTGCAGGCCAGAAGTTGATGTTCAAACTGCAACCAACTGGTGAGTACTCAATTTGAGGTGCTAAGCAGCAGTCTGTGTGGTTTAGAGGAAAACTGTATATTCCCTACCCTGCAGCCATGGTGCAGCCACCATCTCCTCTGGAGCAACATCAGTGGACCACGTGACACAATATTTTTTATCATAGCAGTGTAGAGGTGAGAAATTTGGACTTTTGGCTATGGAAATACTGTGTTGCTTTCTCCTTATCTCCTTCACACATCCCATTGCTGGACCTGTATCAGTGTTGGGGACCTGAAAGTATAAGTGGTGAGTTTTGAAGAGCAGCAATAGAGCTATGGAGAAAAGTGACTAAGAAAACCTGGTCTGATGCTGTGCATGCCCCCCAAAATGACCAGTTTTGTGGTAAAGTGTGAAATTTAGAGAGGCTAAGAGTAAGGTAGTAGACTCATATAATGGTTTGAGCTGGAAGGAACATCAAGGATCATCTGGGTCCAACTTTCCTGCTAGTAAAGCAAATAGAAAACAGGCCATAAATTCAGGTTTAGCACATTAATATTTCTTCTTAATTTGATCTGAAATCCTAAAAAAGGGAAAGAATTATACAAGTCATTTTAGTTTTAAGAAACAAGCATTTTGTGAGAAGAAGATAAAATGTATGTTTGCTTCCCTTCCTTTGCTTTTCTAAGCAGAAGTTCTGAGTTGTCTGAGAGATCATTTCCTTTGTTCATCCAGCCTGGCCTAGAACACTGCCAGGGTTGGGGCATCCACTACTTCCCTGGGCAACCTGTGCCAGTGTCTCACCTCCCTCACAGGAGAAAATTTCTTCCTAATAGCTAACCTAAACTTCCCCTCCTTCTGTCTTTCCTAGAACCAGTGGCTAAATTTGAAAAGAAAGTAGTCCAGAAGGAGCCTCTCATTGTTCAAGAACATGAAAGTATCACGCTGACTACTTCAGTAACTCCTGAAACTGCTGCAGTAAAGTGGTTCAAGGATGGAACAGAAATTAAGGCGAGCAAGAAATGTGTGATCAAGAGTGAGGGAACATCCAGGACCCTGACAGTGAACCTGGCTGATAGCACAGACACAGCTGTGTACACCTGCCAGACAAAGGACGACAAGCAGGAATTCAAAGTACAGGTGAAAGGTGAGCAGAGTACCTGAAGGCCTGTTGCTTGTTCCTTCTTCCAAATACTCAGTTTTTGTCCCTTACTGGTCACTTCATGAACAAGGAAGCTCTTTCTGATGTTTACTCCCCTCCTGTTTCTGTGTTTTCCTAACCCCTGTAGCTGGTACGTGACAGAGACTTAGGTCTTCCCCACTCTGCCCACAGGCAGAAGCTCATGAGGGTGTAGAGGGATGTTGTGTGAGGAGATCATTTGTGAGTCACACAGGGAAATAGGACCTGAACTTTATCCTCTTCAGTTCATGGGATGGTGCACCTGGGGTACTGTTTCCTAGTCAATGCTGTAAATTGATAAGAAGGATGAAGTAGAGCTCGTCCTCAGACAGAGATGAAAGGGATGATGTCCCAGAGCAAAGCCCTGTTCACACTGAAAATAGCTGCAGCTGAGATGCACTCCCTCAGCTCCCTGAGGAGTCACAGCAACAGAGTGCTGATAGGTGATGATACATCTGATTTCTTGAAATCTCTTTGGGATGAGAGAAATCATGCCCTGGATTTTTCTGACACCACTGGCCATGTTACCAGTGACTGAAGAGACAAAGGTGCCTGGGATTTATTCATCCACACAGATTTTTACGCCTAGTCAGTCAAATCAGGCTCTGATGTAAAACACCACATGGTCTCATCAGGTAAAAGATTAGAAAGAAAGGAAGGCAATACCCAATTGAGTTTGAAGATACTGTTCTTGCTTTACAGAATGATAGTGATATGAAAATACCACGTCAAAGGTATCTCACTGAATTTTCAAATTTCTGGTTTGTTTATGACTACCCTGATCTCCTTATATATTCTAGGGCCATTGATGTAAAACACCACATGGTCTCATCAGGTAAAAGATTAGAAAGAAAGGAAGGCAATACCCAATTGAGTTTGAAGATACTGTTCTTGCTTTACAGAATGATAGTGATATGAAAATACCACGTCAAAGGTATCTCACTGAATTTTCAAATTTCTGGTTTGTTTATGACTACCCTGATCTCCTTATATATTCTAGGGCCATTTTGCTATCTATCTATTCTATCTATCTATCTATCTATCTTTTTTCAAAGTTGGTCAGAATGAGTTTCTTAGAACAGGTTTCTTATCTTTTCCTTTCTCATAATTTTTCTCTTCTTCTGCATCTCAGAAATCCCAGTGAAGTTTGCCAAAAAGCTTGAAGCTGTTAAAGCTGAAATTGGAGGCAGTGTCTCTCTGAGCTGTGAGGTGAGCCATGCCAAAGGGAAGGTGGTGTGGTGCAGGAATGGAGTTGAGATCAAGCCCACCAAACGTTTCCAGATTCATGAGGAGGGGATCAAACGGACACTGACAATAACAGGGATCAGGGCTGAGGATGAGGGAGAGTACTCCTGTGAGTCCAGAGATGACAAGAGCAGCATTACCATCACCCCTAAAGGTATGTTTCTAATGGAAATGGTGTGGAGGATTCACTGGGTTTTGTCCTCAGCTGTTGCAACTCTACAAAGCTGAATTTGTTCATGTGTCTGTGCTGTCTCCACTGTTGAGATCAAAACACAAAACTCCTCTTCTGTCTCAGTGTCAGTGGAACCTCTATTTGTGAAGAACATAAAGATTTTGAGACCTGTTGAGCTCAGGTCTCTAAATATTGACCTTCATATTGCATTTGAGGCAGGAATTCAGTATCCCAAATCTAAGATGGGGTTTTCCCCCCTCCCTCTTTGTTTGCCTCAGGCTTCTAGCATTTTTATACACAAAACTTACTCAAACACAGGAAACATCACCCAACAATGACCCATTATTGTGATCACTTACTGTGAGCAATAAAAATTGGTGCTTCCAATGAAATCATGGAAGCTCTTTGAAGGTGCTCATGCCATGTCTCAAAAACATGCTCCTAAATGTTTTATTCCTATCTCTTAGCTCCCAGAGTGGTGAAATTCGTTACAAGTCTCAACAGTGTGGTCTCTGAGGAAGGAAAAGATGCTGTGTTCAAGTGCACTGTCTCTCCCAGTGATGCTGTGGTCACTTGGTTCAGGAATGGTGTCAAGATTGAAGCCAGCAAGAAGTATGTGATCTCACAGAAGGATACTAACCACAGCCTCACCATCACTGACCTGACGCTGGAAGACACAGCTGAAATCTCTGCCAATGCTGAGGGTGTAGAAAGCACAGCCAACCTCAGAGTCCGAGGTAAGAGGTGGTGATGCCACTTTGACAGGCTGTCACTGATGCCCTGTCCATGGCAGGGGATGGGAACTAGATGATCTTTCAGGTCCCTTCCAGCCCAAACTATTCTATGATTCTAAGATGTTGTTTTGTAATTATATTAGCAGTAGGGAAATTCTGCTTTTCCATCATTAAATAGGGATGCCTAGAATCCTTTGGGACTGGAGATATATAAGCCACCCATTAAATTTTCTCTGAAAGCCTGTTTTCCAGATCCTCTGCATTCTTACTAATATTTCTTCTCCTTTGGCAGAGGCTTCAATCTCATTTAAGAAGAAACTGGAGCCCAGAACAGTTGAAGAGAGGGAGACAGTGACCTTGGAGGTAGAGCTGACCAAGCCTGCAGAGGTGAAGTGGATGAGGAACAGCATCGTATTGAAGCCCAGTGACAAAATAGAGATCAAAGCTGAGGGAACAAAGCATACCTTAGTGGTTAAGGACATCTCCTTTGCAGACAGGGGCTTCTACTGCTGTGAGAGTCCTGATGACACGACACAAGCCAAGATCAATGTAGAAAGTAAGCTGAATGATCTCCAGTTCTGTAAATACCTTGGGCAGGGTTTGGAGGTGGATTCTGGTCTCTGCTGTTATCATGAGGGCACAGGAACCCAACCATGGGTTTGGCCACCAGTCAAATGACTGAGTGGAGGTGAGAACTATAAAAGCTTTTTTCTCTCCGTGCCTCTTCTCTCCCTCGCTTGTTTTGTCCTAGTTGGAGAACTGCACAACATTGCCATGGATTTATTTTATTTTATTTGTTTTGTTTTCTTTAAAAAAATGGTGGACCTTGATAGAAAAGGGGCCAGTTCACCCTTTTTCTGCAACGTTTGGTTCACCTGTTTGGCCCAGCTGAAAGCATCTATTAAAAAGTAGCAGCTATGCTAGCAGTGTGGTCATGGACAGATTCTATTTCCTGTAGAAATGGTTGTTTAATTGACAGCTATCAATTAATTGGCAGGTACCTGCATGAGGAATAGGGAAATATTCCACTTGGGGAGTCCTTAGGCTATTTCACAACTGTCAATGTGAGGTCTCTAATTTGTCTGTGTTGTTTTCCAGTGAGACAGATCAAGTTGGTGAAAGGCCTTCAGCCCCTCAAAGTTGCTGAGAAAGGGACTGTCACCTTTGAGGTGGAGGTGTCTCATGAGGATGTGGAAGGGACCTGGCAAAAGGATGGCGTTCGGCTGAAGCCTGCACCCAGTATCAGTATTGGTGTCCTGGGGAAGAAACATACTCTGACTCTTTCTTCAGTGGCTCTTGAAGATGCAGGACTCATCTCCTTCAAAGCAGAGGGCATTAATTCATCAGGGAAACTCACCGTGACAGGTACACAGACCAAAAAGGCCCTGGTTGGTGTGGGACCTTGTCTTCTCCTGACCTGGAGAGCAAGCTCTAGAGGGCAACAAGCTTTCCTTGTAACTGCAAGGGGTTCTAAGCACTGGACCATCATCAGTAAAATATCCTTCTAATGTCAACAGGATTATTGTAGCATCATTGTCCACAGAACAACTCATGCCAAAGTGCCCAAGACAATACAATTTTGGCATCACGAATTTTATTGATCATGGAAGTCAGGCTCTCCCTGTTCATTAATGCTTGTGTCAGATGGTTCTGGAGACCTAATTTCCCACTAACTGGACTTTCTCTTTTTGTTTTGCAGAATTGCCTGTGAGAATCAGCAAACCTTTGGCAGATGTCAGTGTAACTCAGAAGCTCAAGGCCACATTTGAGTGTGAGCTGTCCAGGCCCAATGTGGATGTTAAATGGTTCAAGGTACAGCATTTAATGGATACTTATATTTTATTTTCTTGCAAGAAAGAAACAAGAGCCTTTAATTTCAATTCCAGGGGATGTGAGTCTCTATTCTTGCTCAGAATGTGAGCACTGCTGTTACAGCAATGCAGTCTTGTGCTCTGCTCAAGCCCAGCAGTTCTTACCCAGGATTTATAGTCTCTTTGGGAACTGTGATTTAAAGGGAAGTCTCAATTTCCTTAGTCAGTAACAGCCCAGTTCCCTTTCCCTTAACAGTCATTTTGGGGATCAGCTCTGGCATTTCATGTACCTTTCTTGGGGTTTGCTTGATACTTTTCTTAAATGGGGATAACAGCATTTCTTCAATGTAAAGTTTTGGCAGGCAGGGACCTTTTAAAGGTTGTCTAGTTCCAGCCCTCTGCCATGGGCAGGGATACTTTCCACTAGACCAGGTGGCTCAGAGCTCCATTCAATCTGGCCTTAAACATTTTCAGGGATGGAACAGCCAACACGTCTCCGGACACACTGTGCCAGTGTTTTACCACCCTCATTGTAAAAAACGTATTCCTTATATCTAGTCTAAATTGACTCTCTTTCAGTTTAAAACCATTTATGTCTGAAGGGGCTTATTGCCAGGCCTGTACAGTGCCTTAAGCCTTCAAACATGTCTGTGATCAGCCAAAAGTTATGTGTGATCTTCAGCCATTCGAACTGGTTGAAATCTTTGCACCATGCTGAAGTTTAGGCATATGTTCCATTCAGCACAGTTCCATTAAATTCAATGAGACAGGTGAATTAAGCACAGATCTGAATGCCTGTTTTGCTTAATGCACATGTACAACAGTTGATGGTGATGTGGTTTGGCCTTTTTCCTTCTAGGATGGGAAGGAGATCCAGCAAAGTAAAAACGTGGGGATTATTTCCCAGGGTAATAAGAGAAGCCTCATTATTCACAAGTGTGAATATGAAGACCAGGGAACCTATACGTGTCAAGTAGCTGAAGACAAGACATCAGCCACTCTAAAGGTTCATGGTATGTTTGACTGAAGTAGCAGAGTACATTTATTGCAGTATTTTTGGCTACACAGCAAGAAATTCTTCATGGACAGTTTTTGCAATTACTCCTCTTGGTTCACTTTCTCTTCCTGGTAAGAAAGTGCTGGCAGATCTGTCCTGTGCTTGCTCTATCCTAGAGGAGCATTTTTGGAAGAGGTGCTAACTTAGTTTTACATTTATCATATGTGATTTTTGTTCTCTGGAGTCTGAATGGTATTTCTAGATACTGAATAGCCTGGCACACAGCAGGATCCAATGTCTGGTGCTGATGTGGTTTGGTTTAGCTTCTGACATTGTCACAGGGAGACTGCTTGAACAGAGACTGGACAAGCCTTGGGTATGACCTCAAGAAGTGCCCTAATTTTTAGGTTGTAAATGGTAAAGAAAAGGCCATTACTTCTGCCTGCACCTGTTCTTTATACTCGAGGAAGTTTTTCCCTCCATGTGTTGCACCGTACAACTGATTAAACACCAAGTGTGTTTTGAGGAAGTTTTTCCCTCCATGTGTTGCAGTGTACAACTGATTAAACACCAGGTGTGTTTAGTCACTAGGATTTGAAGCACCAGAGATAAGTTAGTGCTAAAGGCAAGTTACTCAACAGACAGGCTTGCCTTGCCCTCACAGACGTTATTTTCTAGAGGGATGTCTGAAAACCTGATCAGTTCTTTCTTAGTGAAAGACAGAGCAGCTCTTTGCTATTGCTTACTAGATGCTGTCCTCATGTGGCTGCTTGAGTTCAGCAATATTTTCATGAACATCTGTCCTGTCCCATTGTTCTACTGAACTCCTCCTATTCTCCTTGACTTTGTGACTGGGAATGGTTGTTGTCTGCATTTCAACTCTGCTCCTGAGACTGATCCAAGGTGTTATCTAGGGCTTCCTTTTCGAAAGGAAAGTGCTGCAATAACACAGAAATACATGTCAGATTAGTGCCAAACTGCAGAGTATTATACTGAGCTCAGAGGACTCTGAAGAAAAAATATCTCCTACATAAAACAGGGGAATAAGAGGAGAACGTGCAGAGAAGCATGTAGATGAGACAAGTTTATGGTGACCCAAGAGATTGTAGGCTTGTGTTTAATTTTCCATGACAGATTTTCTTTCATTAATATGTTTGATTTCTTTAAACCTGTATGATGGTCCAGCATCCATAAAATCCTCTTGTATTGAGATCCACTGTAGATGGTAATTCTACCTGTAGGTTCAAACATGAAATATACTCACTGTGTTGAAGAGAGAACTACTCAGGACAAGAGATTGGCACTGTGTTGAAGAGAGAACTACTCAGGAAAAGAGACTGGTCTGGAATAAAACACATTCGCATTTTTTTCCATGCTATGAATTATGCAGAACGTACATGTTTTTTCCATGCTATGAATTATGCAGAAGGTAAACACACCACACTCAGTTATGGAGAAACCCCAAATAAACATTTGTCTCTATGATTTCACAGCCCGAGATGTCAAGATTGTAAAACCACTGGAAGATGTGGAAGTGAATGAATATGAGAGTGCATCTTTCACCTGTGAGATTTCACATGATGAGGTCGAAACGCAGTGGTACAAAAACAACAACAAGCTGAAAGCTGCTGATAATATTAAAATGCGTCAGGAAGGTAGGATGAAAAAGGGGATCTCATTCTTAACTGGGAGTGGGTTTGGCTGGGTGCTGAGATGGGAGACTAGAGAAAAGGATTTGACCTCCAAAATCAGGTTAAGAGGCTTCAGCAGAGTCCTGCTTTTGTTTTGGGGGTGCCAGCTATGCACTATGGGGGTGACATGGTGGGAACATTAATAAGGCAGATTTGGTGTCATCTCACCATCCCATGCTGCCAGCAGTGGGTAGGAATTTGTATCATCTAACTGTGGGTGGGATCCTTCTGTTCCAAGTACTTGCCCAATGGTGGTGAGGGCCACATTCAGTCATTGGAGGAGTTGAGTTTGGGTGCAGTGACAGAAACTTGGGAAGGGTCAGCCTTGCTGCTGTGAGAGCAGAATGTGATGCACTGAAACCAGATGGGCAGTACTCAACCTGGTAGAGCACCTTGGAGAGTGAAGGTGATTGCTGGGGGGAAACTGAACAATGTCTGGTTGTGTGCCTATTCTCAGGAAAGACCTATTCACTGACTTACATGCGTGTCCACGTCGAAGATGCAGCAGAGATCAAATTTGTAGCAGAAAAGGCAGAATCTCGTGCTCAGCTGACTGTAAAAGGTAATTATGCTTTTCGTGCCAGTACTGCTTGTGCTCTCTCACATTACAAACCAACCAACTTCCCTCACTTCAGATATGAAGAAGGTTAAACAACACCAAGAGCTTTCAGGGAAAGAAAAACTTCTGCCTGCATTACTGTCTGTTAAATATCAGCCTGGGAGTTTACTTTGGCTAAATAACAGTTTATTTTCTCAGACACTTAGGTTTGTACCTTTAGAAATTAAAAGCCATGTATGAAATTTGAGGGACAAAAAGCTGTAGTTTGACTTTTTCTTGCATTTTCACTTTCTGATGTATGTTAAAAAAGAAAACAGCATTTCTTGTGTGTGTGTTTAAGCGAAACATTGGGATGGAAGGAGAGAGAAGGAAGGCTAAATAACAGTTTATTTTCTCAGACACTTAGGTTTGTACCTTTAGAAATTAAAAGCCATGTATGAAATTTGAGGGACAAAAAGCTGTAGTTTGACTTTTTCTTGCATTTTCACTTTCTGATGTATGTTAAAAAAGAAAACAGCATTTCTTGTGTGTGTGTTTAAGCGAAACATTGGGATGGAAGGAGAGAGAAGGAAGACCTATGAATTAACAATGAGGAGCTGATGTATGTTAAAAAAGAAAACAGCATTTCTTGTGTGTGTGTTTAAGCGAAACACTGGGATGGAGGGAGAGAGAAGGACGACCTATGAATTAACACACTGATGAGGAGCTCAGAAAATCAGAAATCAGTCCTCCTTTGCCATAGCACTGCTGTGCAGTGTTGAGGAAATTACCTGTTATCTCTGTAGTTCAGCCACTCTAGCGGTAAAACAGGGAGGAAAACTTTCTCTTTAATTAGCACTTTACTTGCTGTGTGTTATTTAAGTGCTCAGCATAGTGGGAATTCCTGTCGTCATCCAAGTAACTGAACATAAAAGAAATATTCCTAATGAGTTTTTGATTGGCACTTTTCATGGAGGCTGTACTGATTACTCCATGGGGCTTGATTTCTTTTAGAGCTGCCTGTAAAAATCGTGAAGCCTTTGCGAGATAAGATTGCCCTTGAAAAGCATCGTGGATTCCTGGAGTGCCAAGTGTCTCGTGCCAACGCCAAAGTTCGATGGTACAAAAAGGATGTGGAAATCCACCCCAGTGCCAAATATGAAATTGTAAGTGATGGTGTCTATCGGAAACTCATCATCAATGATGCAGACTATGAAGATGAGGACACATACACATGTGATGCCTTTGATGACAGAAGCAGTGCTAATTTCTTCGTTGAAGGTAGAAACTGTTTTATTTTACCTCTGGAGTGCATTGGCTGATTAATTTATTTATTTGGAAGCAGAATTCTACTTACAAAATATTTTAATTCAAGGTTGATTTATTCTGAAGTCCATTGGTATTGAACCCTTTTACAATGCTAAGCACAGGAACATCCTGAAAAATTAATATATGGTATATTCTCCTAAGGAAAGTGATGAAACTCCTGTTCCAGAGAAGTTTATCAAATGGATTGGACAAAGTTAGTTTTTCAGCTAGATGTTGCAGTTCCTATTAACATATGCATTTCAATGAACCTTCTTTTCCATTTTACAGTGCCACATGTTTGATATCAGGATAGGAAGGTAGCTTTAGAAACAGGACTGGGAATCAGGAGATCTGGATTCTTGAGGCAGTGTCACAGTCTCACTGTCTGACTTGTGATCAGCAAATATGTTTGGTTTTATGTAAAAAATTATGTTTTAAGGCACTTTGAGCTAATAAGTGCAGTATTCAAATGGAGAAAAGATGGCACAAGTGCTCAGGCTGATTATGTAAGAGTTCTGTCATGAATCCTAAATCCCCACGCTCTCGTTCCATACAGAGCAAGCCATTAATATTGTAAAAGAGTTGTGTGATGAGGATGTGACTGAACCTGAAGAAGCCAATTTTGAATGTGAGACATCCATTCTATCTGTGAAACCCCCCAAATGGTTTCTACGTGGAGAAGCCTTACAGGCTGGCAGAAACATCATCATGCAGCAGGAAGGAACCATCCACAGGCTGACAATAGTGAAAACGAGTGCTGATATGACAGGCGTCATCCAGTTCTCCATTGGCAAATCAAAATCCACAGCAAACCTGCTTGTCAGAGGTAATGTCCTATGTCCTGGATTGAACTAGATCAAAAATCCTCCCCTTCACAGACCCTGGATTCTTTCATACATACTGTTTAATGTGCATTATCCACTGGTTGAGTTCTTCAGAGAATTTTAGGGGTTGGAATGGACCTTAGAGATCATCTAGTCCTAACCACCCTGCCATGGGCACACCTCTCCACTAGATCAGGTTGCTCAAGGCTTCATCCAACCTGGTTTTTCTTTTTTTTTTCCCTTGGAAATCTGTGTACCTGGAAGATTTGCTTAGTTCTTAATTGAAAGTTATTGGGAGCAATTTTGGACACACTAAATGACACAGCAATGTCTTAGGAAGGAATCTGATTGAATGACTTTGGTGTCCCTGGTACTCAAACCTGGTGTTCAAATCTATCAAGCTAAAACTGGTTTGTGGTTTATTTTTGTTCTCTTGACTTTACCAAAGAGGACAAAACAGATGAAATTTGCCAGGAGAATTTATTTTGTCCCATTTCTGAACTAGACAAGTTTGATAGCTCATTTACTTAATTCACTTTGTCATTGACTTGATCTAGGACAAAGCTTCAAGGCTTTTCATCTTCTGCTGTCACCATAGTAAATATCTCCAATCACATCCTGAAGTCCTTGTTTTGCCTTTAATTTGCTCCTACTTGAATAAAACCTCAATTAGAGAGCAATTCAGTAAGCACTGAGCCAGAAGTGGACCATGAATTTGGCAGTTAATATACAGCAATATCTTATGGCATTCCCTATAGATCCTTGTGCTGTTGTAGCTTCAAAGCACATCAGCTCTGTAAGAGAAACTTGTAGCACGATCTGAGCAGTTCACAAAACAGTTGTGAATGTCATACCTGAAATTAATTGGCATGAAATACAGATTAGAAACCTTCTTCTTCTTCACATTGATCCCTTCTTCTTTCCCAATCCTGCTTTGCAGATTACCACATACAGATCACCAGGAAGCTGGAGGACAAGACTGTCCTGGAGCGCCACTCAGCCATCATGTCTTGTGACTTCAGGCCTTCCCCAAAGATTGTGAAGTGGTTCAAGGGTCACGTGCTCATTGAGCCATCTGAGAAGTACAAAATCAAACGGGAGCAGTATTCAGCAGAGCTCAAGATTTTGAAGGTGAAGCCTGAAGATGCTGGTGTGTACAAGTGCAGGGCTGGCATTGCTGAGACCGAAGCCACACTGACTGTTGAAGGTATGAGAGGTTTGCAGCAGGGGGAACTTGCCTGTTGCATGTCTTTACGGTTCAGGTTTTAACTCTGGGTTTCTCTTGAGTAAAGGTAGATTCCCACCATTACCTTCCCATTTTATATAAATGCAATATCCTAAGAGAAATGACTGTGCTGATATTCCATGATACTGAAAGCCAGGACTTGCCATGAAGTAGGTAATGCATGTGCAAAAGCACTCTCTGGCTAAGGTAGACGTTAATGTTTCTCAAGGTACGTTATTGTCCATTTCATCCAAGGAACTACACCTCTGGTGCTTCTAACTAAAAAGTCCTTTATGTAAAACCACTACAGGCTGCTGATTCTGGTGGTCTTGGTTGTGGTTTTCATTTCCTGACCACTGTGTCAGTTTTTATATCTGCTATACGTTCTTGTGTCTGCTATATATACATTTTAAATCTGCTATTTTATATCTGAATGCATTTGTTATTCGTAGTGATATTCTCCCTCATCTGGGTGTGGAATTGATTTTAGCCAGTTCTTCACCTCTAGTGAAACTGTAAGAAAAGATGTTCACTGTGTCACTTTCAGCAAGACTTGAAGGTGAGCAGCAGAGTAATTTCCAAAAGCTCAGGGAGCAGCTCTTGGTAACAGTTTGGCCTTGCAGATGTACTTCTTTGAATGTGTTGTCAAACATTGAAACAGGCTTCCCAGGGCAGTGGTGGAATCATCATCTCTGGAGGGATTTTTAAACACACGAATCATCATCTCTGGAGGGATTTTTAAGCACACGTAGATGTGGTACTTGGGGACGTGGTTTTATGTTGGCCTTGGTAGTGCTAAGTTCATGGTTGGACTCGATGATCTTAGAGGGCTTTTCCAACCTTAATGATTTTATGATTGTATTCTATCTAAACAAATATATATGTATAAAATTAATGAATACTCCCAAACCCTCTTCTCAGTTGTCTAATCCCTGAGAAACAGCATTCCATGAATGGAGAAACTGCAAAGAAAAACCTCTGGCCAAGGACTGAGAAAGAAAAGAATCAAATTCCTCCTGCTCCCTAAACCTGAGCAAGTTGCTTAATCAATTTGTCCTTGGCCTTCATGGCCAAAACCATTGTTTTATTCTCTTTCTCTGTGTCACAGTTTCCCTGGAAGTGAGTCAGGGACAATTTAGTTACAATATGTTTGTGTGTGCAGTGGCTAGCACACAGGGGTTGGAATTCTGTGGAATACTTAGGCATCACTATAACATCATTTTAGGAAGAACTATTTATTTTGAAAATTAAAAAACAGAAGCTAAACTGATGTATGTGTAAAAAGAAAATTGAGGGCTTTAGACAATGTAGACTTTTTAATGTTTTTTTTTTGTTGGACCAAATGCAGAACCAAGTAAATGAAATGTGGTGACCTGTGGTGTACAGGAGACTAGACTAAATCATCCAATAAACTCTAAACACTAAGACACTGCTTGTTGTAACAGCTGATTTATGGTCATGGTGGTGATGATGCCCCTTGGTTTCCCACAGCTCGCAATGTAGAAGTCCTCAAACACCTGCAGGACGTGGAAATTGAAGAAGACAGTTCTGCTGTCTTCTCCTGTGAGTTGTCCCACGATGACGAGGATGTGGAGTGGTTCCTCAATGGCACCCTCCTTTACACTAACAATTTCAATGACATCAAGAGTGTTGGCAAATGCTACACACTGACAATGAAGCAGGTCAAGCCTGAGGATGCTGGCACAGTGACAATGAAATCAGACAAAGTGTCGGAGACCGTGCGTCTGAAGGTGATAGGTAGGTCATGATCTCACTCCTCCTGAATGCAAATCAGAGATGCAAAAGAGCTATTATTAATCATATCCATGCAGCAAGCCTTCTTAAAATCTTCATCCCTCTGGGGCTGAGTAAAAGGTGTACAGGAGCTTTCTTCCAGTGCAGATTTCTACTGTAGCTGATGATTTTTCTAAGGAAGATAGTTTTGATGTCCTGCCAAAACTTCCCACTGCTCTTTATCTTCCTTTTACTTATCAGGATAGTCTGAAGAGCAATTTCCTTTACTTGTTGGTCTCTTCAATAGTATATAGTCTGTAAACTGTTATTTCCAAAGATTTTTGACTGCAGGGATGTGAGCTTCAGTGTATCTGCAAAGATAGGGCACACCTTTAGTACATCAGTTCTGGAGCTGGACTGAATCAGTAAAGAGAAGGCAGTTTGCTGCTGTCCTTCATACATCTTAAAGGTCAGTTACACAGCTGAGTTTTTGTGGTATAACATGTTCTTGTACACCCTCAGCAAGTCTGCAGGAAACACCAAGCTGAGTGGTGCAGTTGACACACCTGAGGGTCAGGATGCCATCCAGGGGGATCTGGGCAAGCTCAAGAAGTGGGTGAATCTCTTGAGGTCCAACAAGGCCAAGTGTAAGGTGCTGCACCTAGGTCAGGGCATCCCCCAACATCGACACAGACTGGGGAATGAAAGGGTTGAGAGTAGTCCTGTTGAGAAGGACTCAGGGGTGCTGGTGGATGACACTGGTTTAGGTTCTGCATTGGTACCAGTAGCATTGCCAAGGGTTTGCTTAATTTGTCTTTAAATATTTGATGGCAACAGAAAATGTCATGACTTAGATATCCTGACTGTTCTCTGTTTTGCTTGCTAACCTTCAGAGAAACCTGCTGTGTTCATGAAATCCCTGGATGATGTTTTCGGTGAGGAGCGAGGTGTGATTAAACTGGAATGTGAAGTCTCCAAAGAGAAGGTTAAACCTATTTGGAAAAAGGATGGTGTGAAGCTTACTTCTAGCAACAAGTATGAGGAGATACAGTCTGGGAAGACCCTGTGCCTCCTTATCCATGACCTTGAAAAGACAGATGCAGGATTATACACTTGTGACATTGGCACTGATGTTGCCAAGTCAAAGGTCAGCGTTCAGGGTAAGTATTGTTGACAATGGCCAGTCAAGGGAGTGATGAAAATATGGGTGGGCTTGGTCACTTGGTCTCACACCTATTCCTGCATAAGCCTCACATAAGCCAGTGATGTTTGAACAATCCCTGTTAGTCTTTGATGTAAGTATATCTGATGCTTCAGTGAAAATCAGGTGTCAGGAACATAGTGACAATGTTTCTGACCTGAACATCCCTAAGGTGCAGAAATTCTTCCAGAACAGCAAATAATTTCTCAAAAAAAATCCCAACCAGCAACAAAAAACTCAACAAAAAAGCCTCAAACATCATTCAGAAGCCATTGTAGGAACACACAAGTAGGACAGCATTGTGTATTGAAGAACCCATCAGTTCACTGTGTCCTCTAATCCTTGTCTGCCTGAAGGAAAAAAAATAATGTTCCTGGCTTCCAAACTCATATTGATAATGAGGCAAATTTTGAATTTATCCCATTTGAACACCAGGAGGGAGAGTATGGTAACAAGTTAACAAATACAAGCATGGCATTTCTCATATCGGCATGGAGAAAAACCTCACACATCATCCCAGGTGCTTCCTGTCTCACAGCTTTTCTCCCCTCTATCTCATTTAGTCTTGACTCTTCTCCACCAAGTGAACTGTTCTTCATGCAGTCCTTCCAGAGCAGAGCCAGGAGATTTATGACTCCTTTCCTATTAGCTTTGTGGTGATTCTGAGTGGATAATATTTGAGAAATCCTTCCTATGTCAAACACATCTGTAAGGAATGCAGTGGAGAACTGCCAATCCAGTAGATAAACTACTCTTAGGAGATAAAAATGCCTTTACTCTACTCATGTCTACACTATAAACCTTTTCCCCCTTGTGTTAACCTACTTTTTGTCCTGCAGAACTGAACATTGGCATCACCAAAAGGCTGAAGAACACTGAAATCCATGTGGGAGAAGATTGCACTTTTGAGTGCATTTTGTCCCATGAAAGCATTGATGAGTTCAACTGGACACTGAATGGGAGAAAAGTGGACAGTGGAGGGCGATTTAAAGCCTCCAACATGGGTCGGAAATACACACTCAATATCAAAAGTGTGATTCCTGATGATGCTGGGGAAGTTGTTTTCACTGCCCGTGGTCTAACCTCCAAAGCTTCTCTAATTGTGAAAGGTAATGAGATCAGAAAGGTTCTGGGATTTGATTTCCTTTGTGTAGTTTCCCAAGGTATGTCAGCAAACCACAGAGGCAAACGTGTTTTATGATCAGTGAATAACAGCCTTCCCTGTGAGCCTTGAAGAACTGAGATTTTTCCTTAAAAATAAATGAAAGGCTGAAACTTTTAATAGTTATTTGAGAGCTGAGTACACTGAGTAGTGTGTACAGATAATTACAACTCTGTGTGCTTCAGAGATAATCACCAAAGGCTCCCAGGGTTGTCAGTGGAGAGAAGAAACAGGTAGTTCTGAGTCGTATTTGGGAATCTGCAATAAGTCTTTCTTCATAGAATCAGAGAATTCTAGAATGCTTTGGGTTGGAAGGAACCTTATATTCATCTATTTCCAAGCCCCCTGCCATGGGCAGGGACACCTTCCATTAGATCAGGTTGCTCCAGGCCCTATCCTGGTCACGGCAGAGGGCTTGGAACAAGATGAGCTTTAAGGTCCCTTCCAACCCAAACCATTCTGTGATTCTGTGATTTGAATTGCAAAACCCCCAGCCATATAGTGATCATGATTTTGATTCAAAAATCCTTCTTGTTTTCCTCTTCAGAAAAACCTACTGAGGTTACAAAACAGCTGGAGGATAAAACATCACCAGCAGGGCAGGACATCAACTTGAGCTGTGAACTGTCCAAACCTGATGTGAACATCAGGTGGTACAAGGATGGCAAAGCAATCCGAAAAAGCCAGAAATATGACCTGAAGCAAGAGGGCACAAGGGCCATTCTGATAATCCATGACTCCACAGTCAAGGACAGTGGGGAGTACACCTGTGAGACAGAGGTCTCTAAAACGACAGCCAGGATCACAGTACAAGGTCAGTTGAAGCACGGAGAGGGGCTGGCAGGTACAGAGATAGGGGTTAATATCTACAGTCTGTGGGAGATGTTCTTCTCTTCCATCTCCCTGAACAGGATCAATTTTAATTTTCAAAAAACATCATGGATTAAAAGCTTAAAAGAAAAGATACGAAAAAACACCTTGTAGGTACTGAAGAATCTTGTTATGTAATGAGCCAATCAAAACTGGCAATTTTAATTAGTTTTCATTGAATATGGGTGATGAAAACCATACATGGTCTGTAAGATGAGACCTCACCAGCACCTGGATAATGGCATTAAGCTTTCCTGTAGATATTTTACCTGATATGTCCTGTGACAGAAGGTGGACCTGGTGATCTTAGGTCCATTCCATCTGATAGGATGAGAGGAAATGGCCTCAAGCTGCACCAGAGGAGGTTTAGATTGGCTATTAGGAAATATTTCTTCATGAAAGGGTGGTCAGGCATTGGAAGAGGCTGCCCAGGGAAATGATGGGGACACCATCCTTGATGGGATTTAAAATACGTGTAGATGTGTCACTTAAGGACATGGTTTAGAGATGGGCTTGCTAGGGTTAAGTTAATGGTTGGACTTGATGATCTTAAGGGTCTTTTCCAACCTAAATGATTCTGTGATTCTTAACTCTAAACAAATGGTGGCTTAGGGGAAGCAAGATCACTCTGTATGCTCAGGATGAGTGTGGATAACAAATCTGGCTCTCTCATTTGTATTTTTATATAATTAAAATATTTATTTTTTTTTCCTTCCAGAAAAACCTAATTATTTTGTCAAGGAACTTTCAGACCTGAAAGTTGATGAAAGTGGAACTGCAGTTTTTATGTGCCAGAGTGAGAGACCTGCATCCTCTGTGGTCTGGAGGAAAGGCATCGCTGAACTCAGGGTTGGCAGGAAATATGAGATCACACAGGAAGGACAAGTCCTCCAGCTGACCATCAAGAATTTGGAGAAAAGTGACAGTGACACTTACAGTTGTGACATTGGTGATGCCCAGTCCAGAGCCAAGCTGGTTGTGCAAGGTATGCTGAGAGGAATATGATTGTACATCCCATTTCTGTCATGGGAAACATTGTATGCACAGGCAGATCTATTTATCAGCATATGGGTAGCAGATCCATTGATTTTTTTGGCTCTGTCTCATTCATGATTTAAGGAACATGTGGCCCAAAATATAGCAACATGGAGCTGGACATGCAGAGTAATTTGCCAATTTGCAGCAATTGCACCTGGAGTACTTTGGGTGTGATTTAACCCCAAAATGCTGCTGTGAGGACAGGCTGGTGTTCCTGTGTGAACACGTGATGTTGGCAGAGACATCTGACAGTGTTTGCTGTTAGATGAGGGAAAAATTATTCTGCCTCTAGGCTTTTCTCCATGTACCTTGATGCCTCTTCCCAGTAGTGTTTTTTAAGAGGAGATGGGTAAATGAGAGGTCCACAGAATCAGAAAATGGTTTGAATTGGCAGGGCATTAAGTATCACCTAGTTCCAACCCCTCTGCCATGGGCAAGGACATCTTCCACTGGACCAGGTTGCTCCAAACCCCATCCAGCCTGTTCTTAAATACTTTCAGGGATGGGACAACATCCACAACTTCTCTGGGCAGCCTGTGCCAGTGCCTTACCACCCCCAGAAACAAGAATTTATTTGTAATATCTAATCTAAATCTCCCATCTTCCAGTTTAAGGTCATTCCCCTTTGTCTTATCCCTCCAGGCCTTTATCCAAAGTCCCTCTCCAACTCTCTTGGAACCCCTTCAGGCATTGTAACAGACTCTATGGTCCCCCTGGACCCTTCTCTTCCACAGGCTGAACACCCCCAACTCTCTTAGCTTGTCTGCATAGCAGAGGTGCTCCAGCCCTCAGAGCATCTTCAAGGCCAGAATCTTTTGGTGCTAAATGTCCCTCTGCACCTTAGAGATGTAGGTAGAGTGCAGCACAACTTCCAGCTGAAGAGTACAACCAGTCCAGCAGGCTTTATTTGACCCTGGGGGCAATAAATGAGCTGTGGTGGCCAATGCTAGCAGCAGGGCCATGTTTAAGAGGAAGGAATGAGATCTTGTTTTCACTGTTCCTCACAAGTTCCCCAAATGGAAGAAACCCTTGAGAATAAATTGATAAAGCAATGAAGATAATAAAAGAAATAATTCAAGAATAGTCAGATGGAGAATCAGTGTCTGTGTCCACTTGCTAATTTGGTTAGTTATTAAAGATGAGGAGGTAAGGTCAGACTCCTCCACCTCTGACCATCTGCTAGATAGGCCTTGAGAAGCAAAGAAGTGTACTTAATCCCCATTATAACCTCAGGCTCTGAGCTACCTGAAATCACTTTGAGCTTGCTAGCACCAGCTTTTCTGAGTGGAAAAAATACTTCACTGTCACAAAGAGAAAAGTAAAGAAAATCCCTGTAATGGTTTTGTAATTAGGAGGAACATCAGATATAATTTTGTAGACAGTGATAACTTTATTTTCTATATATTTTTAGTTAGGTTAATATTTATGTATTTATTTTTGGTGAGGTGTATATCCATCTACAGAGGCAGGTTTTCAGGGAGATGTTTTGTTTCTTTCTATCAAAGCTGCAGTCAGACACTCTCTCCACTTTCCTCTATGTTTATGGTTGTACAAGCTTAAAGATGTGGGTTCAGTGATCCCATCTCACAGTTATATTTGCACTAAGAAAACAGTGAGGCTGTCATGGGAGGGAGGGATCATCTCCTTATTGATGTCTAGAGCCCAATAATGCTGTCAGAGATGCATCCTTTCAGCCTTTCCAGGTAGTTTCATTAGTAGAAAGTTTCTAATACACTTGCTCTGCTTTATGTTTTCTGGAGCTTTAAAGTTGTCTTCATCCTATTTTGGTGTGTGTCCTGTATGTATTATCTTCCTGTGAATGAGTTTTGTGTTCAGGATTGGGGGAATTGTGTTTCAGTCTTCTGTATCATGAACACATCTCTTTCTTGAAATACTCACATGGGAAATCTTGGGAATTTTCCTTATCAATTTTCATGCTAGAAACTGAAGATTCCAGTAATTGATGTATCTATGTTCCTTTCAGGCCAGAAAGTGCTAATAACAGAAGACCTGGAAGATGTCACTGTGTTAGAAGGAGAGTCTGCCATGTTCAAGTGCAGAATCTCTCCTGTAAACTATAGCAAAGTGCAGTGGTTTTTGGATAAAACCCCACTCCATACCAATGAACTTAATGACATCCAGTCTCAGCCTGGTGGATATCACTTGCTAACGTTGAAAAAGCTCTCACTGAAGGACTCGGGGGTCATTACATTTGAAGCTGGTGATAAGAAAACATCTGCCAGTTTGGTTGTTAAAGGTAAATCAATCATAAAAATGGCAGGAGAGGAAATAATGAGCAGAAATAAATGGGGCTAATGTGGGTAGGTGAAAAAAAAATGAACAAAAATGCTACAAATTTAGGCTCATCCTGTGTATATCTGTTTATGTTCAAGAATAGCATTATTTATATAATAAAGCTATTGCTGGAGAATGAGCACTTTGTAATTCTGGACAACTCTCAGAGTGTTTATTGGACCTTAGATGGGAATGTTATACTGCAGTGATGGTACATTAGATGCCTTGTTCAGTTCTCCTCTAGTCAAGCTGCTAAGATGATGATAAATGAGGAGAAATCAGTTAGTTCAAGGAATAAAAAAAGTGCAGTCACTAAATTTTTTACTTAGTTTTCATTGCTTGAAATGTAAAATTATATGTGTTCTCTGCTATTCATTGTTGACTTCTACTGTTGACACTACTTCTGTAGTGAGAGAATGAAATGAATGCCAGACAGTCCAAGAATGCAGTATTAGAGAGATGTTTTCTTACTGGAAATATAAATATTTCTTGTTGCCCAGAGATGTAAAACCCACAGTCTCCACCATGTCAGATCATAGTCTCCTTTTTCAGAATTACCGTATTTATTGCAAAGGACTTTTGGGGTTTTTTTCAAATTTTGAAAGCTGCATCTGGATTAGACAAGTCAGTGTGAATATAAAAGCATTTGGTTTTGTTGGAATGGTCAATTTGAATCTCAGAGCATGGAGTGGGAGGACAAGCTGCTCACAGGATTTATATAGAGCACAAGGAAGCAAATCAACTCAAGGCTGAGGTCTGCTGTGCAAGGAAAGAGAAGATGTAATGAAGAAGAGGTGCTGGTTGATGGTCCTGATTTTCTCTGTCTTTCTTTAGCACAAGAATTCTCAATACCCCTTGCACAAAAAAAGAAAGATCTGTGTTGACTTCACTAGGACCTGGATCTAACAGATTATGAAGAATAATTTTCTATTAGGAAATAAACCCCATTCATAATGTTCCATAACAGCCCAGTTTTCCCTTCACAGAGAATGATGTGGATGGATGTAGGATTTAAACACATGGATTCAGATCACCACTAGATATGTAGGAGTCAAGTCATAAGAATGTCTACAACAGATTGCACCATTGGAGCTTTCTTTTATCTATTAGGGTCACATCAGAGCAGCAGAATGTAGAAATAGCAAAACCTAAAAATAATAACCAGTAGCCATGTGACACTGAGTGTCCCCAACCAGAGGCAAAAGGGGGACAGAAGAATAGGCTGCAGTTTTGCAACAGCCACAAGTTAAGTGCATCATGAATCAGGAGCTGACTTGAGTATTCATAAGACAGCAGAATTCAGGAAGAATTATATTTTTTTCATGATCTGAAGGAGAACACTTCACTTGAGTTTTTTTCCCAGTAAGTGCCTTCCCAACACTAGCTCACCTCAAAGCCTTGAATCCCAAGCTGTGACAGAGCCTGCAGAGGAAGCTCCACAGGGACCCTGCCATGTACAGCTGTGCTTCCCTCTCTGTGTTTGCTCTGTACTGGTTTTAAGTCTGTATTCATGTTGGATAAAATCATGTTGTAGGGATTTTTATAATGAGAAGTATGTACTGCTGGTCATGCCAGAAAGTGCTTTGCCATTCCTCTGTGTCCTCTGTGTCATGTGTGAGTTGACCTCAGTGAAGTTTTATGTTTTTTGTGCCAGTGGTGCAGCTCTGAGCACCCATCTGCAACAGTTTGTCTCATTAATAGCAGTGCAGCAGTTGCTGCTGCTGCTAATATGAAAACAGTAATAGAAACAATGATTTCTATAGTTCAGATAGTGCTAAAAAGGAAAATCAGCATATGGCCTCAATATTTTTTTGCTGCTGTAAATTGCTGGCAGCCAGATGTGAGATGTCAGAATCTGTTTGCTGTTTTCTAGTGCTTTTCCATTTGTATTTTTTTAAAATCTCAGTAATGAATTCTGAATCAAAAAAGGAAAAGTGTTTTCCAACCTCATATGTTTCCTTCAGCATTTGTATTATCCTTTTTCAGAAGCACCAGTTCTTTTCAAGCAAGAGCTCCAAAATGAAGAAGCTAAAGAAGGAAAACAAATTAAGCTGACCTGTGAGCTCAGCAAACCTGGTACCCCAGTGAAATGGATGAAAGGAGACACTGTTCTCTATGCCAGTGAGAAGTATGAATTTAAGCAGCATGGAACTGTGGCAGAGCTCATTATTCGAGATGTGAAATCAGTAGATGCTGGGGACTACACCTGCAGCACTGGGGAACTGAAGACCACTGCTCGGGTGAAAGTGAATGGTGGGTAGTTAGACATTGCCATACTTTCTTAATGAAGTACTTAGTAGATCTATTACAAAAAGTCACATTACACTCCATTTTTTTGTGTCAGTGGCATCTTTAATACGTATAATTTAAAGGCAATATTGCATACTTGTAGGCACCTGTATATATTTCATTCATAGCATCTCACATTCTGTGTCTGGGATTTTAAGTCTGTAATTTCCCACTGGGCAAAAAATAATTAAGTGAAGTGCAGAGGATTAATTTTCTATACTCTCTCTGCTGTAGTTCCTGACCTATCAGCTGCTTTACATCCCTGTGAATAAGATTTGAGTTAGAGATGAAGACCAGTAGAATTGGAGCACAAGAATGTGAAAACATAAGTCCAGTCCCTGGAAAATTGCAGGTGGCCAAGTGATTAATATTTAGACCCCCAAACTTCCCAAACAACCTTTTTAAAGGCTCTTAGATGTCATCTGCACTCCCCAATGCCCTTACCAATTCCCGTACATTTAGTACCATAGCAAAAGTAGTGTATGCTGGAGCAGAAAGCAGGAGAGATATAGGATATGAATATTGTTTCAGAGCCCTGCAGGAGCAGGGAATTCATTAGGTGATGATGTCCAGAAGACTCCGAACAGATTCTTATTAAAAATGAAAGAAACTTTTCCCATATTCATAGGAATCACAGAATCAATCAGGTTGGAAAAGACCTCTGAGATCATCAAGTTCAACCTATGACCTAACACCACCATGTCAACTAGATGCCATCATCCAGTCTCTCCTTAAACTCCTCCAGGAGCAGTGACTCCATCACCCCTGTAGGCAGCACATTCCAGTGTCTAATCACCTTTTCTGTGAAGTAATTCTTCCTAATACATAACCTAAACCTTTCCTGGTACAGCTTGAGACTATGTCCTCTCCACAGTGACATGATAACCTCTGGAGGAAAGGTTTCTTCCTCCTCCCAAGCCAAATCATGTTGATGCCACACAGCCAAGGGAGGGGCCAGGGCTGCTCTGCTCATTTGGAAGAGGTGGCAGCATTCATGGGGCAGTTGTTTTGTAACAGGTCAACGGGGCATGTCCTAATCCCTGGTTCTGTGTTGTAGCTGTGCCTGTCCTTTTTAAACGAGCCCTGGAGAACACGGAAATGGAAGAAGGGAAATCTGTCTCCTTGCGCTGTGAACTCACAAAAACCGATGCCACCGTGGTGTGGAAGAAGGGAGAAGCCACGCTCCAGGCAAGTGCCAAATATGAAATGAAGCAGAAGGGGACAGTGGCAGAGCTGGTGATTCATAATGCAGAGCCAGAAGATGCGGGAAGATACACCTGTGACACTGGAGACCAGCAGACCACAGCCCAAGTCAAAATCCATGGTAGGAATGAGACACCTGCTTGTGACCATTTGTTGTTTTTCTTGCCATGGTCCTGCTACCTCCTACACACATAGCACGAGTGTTCAGAAAATTTAGGGATCAGTACAAACAAAAGGCACCTCTGACTGAGTCCATTATGTTCTCTGTTTACTGGGATGATTACTTCATGCTAAAACATGTCAATCAAATATACCTGATAACAAAATATCTTTTCTTCCCTATGAAATATCTCTTATGCTTAGGATAGAGAAGACTGGTCAAGCACTAAGCCAAGAGGTAAGAAGGGCCTCAGCTACACATTTTATTAAATAATGTTCAATTTTTTTCTCCACTTTCTCAGCAAGTTTTTATGCATCTGTGACCAACAGCATTTGGGTAGCAGAATGGTAATTACTCTGATATTCTAATTTTTGGGAAATAATTGTTCTCTTTTTATTTCATCCCAAACTCTTGGTGTGCTATTATAAACATGAGTCCTGGAAGTGCAGGTAGGTCAGATTTTATTGGCTGTGTGTGCCAAGAGAATTTGTTTTGGCTTTAAGTCTTATATGAGGTCATCAGATGGTGATGATGCTCCTAAAGTAAACTGAGAATGCTTCATTCCTCAGCTGTCTCTGTGCTCTTCAAAGAAGAGCTGAAGCATGTGGAAGCTGTGGAAGGTGGGACAGCCACCCTGCAATGCCAGCTGAGCAGAGAGGCTCCTGTGGAGTGGAGGAAGGGGCACACTCTTCTCCGGCCCAGTAACAAGTACAAGATGAGGCAGGAAGGCACAGTCACTGAGCTGCTGATCCACGATCTGGACCCAAAGGATGCTGGAGACTATACATGTGTAGTGGGGAACCAAAAAACCACAGCAGCCTTGTCAGTGAATGGTAAAAAGGCAGAAATAACCTGTGAAACTCTGGAATGTTTTTGTCCACACCTTTCCTCCTCCTCTCTATATGTTATCTCACAACTCCTACCTTCACGTCCTGCTTCTACTGCTTAGATCCATCCACTTTTCTATGTTGCCATGTCACTCCTGTCCCCAATTTCCATCCTCTATCAGCTTTCATTATGCCCAATGTTTAATATGTGTGTGTGTTGTGTTATCTTCTTACCTTTCCTCAAGTGAAGGATGATGTCCTGCATGTTTGTTTTCCTGAATTAGCATGGAAACATAAGATTCCTTGGGATTTTCTGTTAAGGAGGGTTCATCACCTTTAGTGATAAGGATGAGTTTATCACTTGTGTACATGATCTCAACCGAGATCACAAATACTTGGATTTCCACAGAGTAATTTACTAGAGAATTTCTTTAGCCATCCATGAAAAAATACAGGATGTTCTTAAGGACGAGGGTGCTGCAATAAGGTTTAGGTAGATATGCAATATATCATGATTCAGCCTCTGACCAGAGATCTGAGCAGGGTCTTGGGTTGCAATCCCTTTTCATTCTGCATCTCTCAGCCCTGCCAGTCCGTTTCAAACAAGAGCTGAAGAACGAGGAAGCCACAGAGAGCGGGACAGCCACACTGCAGTGCGAGCTGAGCCGGGCCGGGGGCTCTCCTGAGTGGAGGAAGGATGGGAAGGTGCTCCTGCCAAGTGGAAAATACAAAATGAGACAGGAAGGGCGTTTTGTTGAGCTGGTTATCCAAGACTTAGACTTGACAGATGCTGGGAGCTATACCTGCATTTGTGGAGACCAGAAGACAACAGCTGCTTTGAGAGTGAATGGTAACCATTTTACCCATGTTTCTCTTTAAGATGCATATTTGACAAAATTTTCTGGTCAATCAAGGCTTGCTCAGTGTGATTTCTTAGAGGTTTTGTGTTTTTAGCTCTGTGATGGCAAAGAGTCAACCTATTAGAAAATATTTCCTTGTGCTTTTTTTGCCTTGAGACAACACATATATGTTGCATACTGATTTCTGTAATTTATTTCTTTCTCCTTTAGGAGGTTTTACCTCCCTTTAAATGGTACCCATGTAGCAGTAGTGCATTTTTGGTTAAATGTAGACACTGCAGCCCAGTAACTCACAGCACAGACCACTTCATTTCACTCTAGTGCTGATTGCTTCTCTGTTGGTATATCTTCAGCCTTGCCTATCCTCTTCCAAGAAGAATTGATGAACAAGGAAGCTACAGAGGGCCAAGCAGTCACTTTGCACTGCAAACTAAGCAAATCAGCCCCGGTTGAGTGGAGAAAGGGGAATATGGTCCTCAAGTCAAGTGAAAAATACAAAATAGAGCAGGAAGGTCCCTTTGCAGAGCTGACGATCCAGGATTTGGATTTGACAGACACTGGTGACTACAGCTGTGTGTGTGGAGATCAACAGACTACAGCTGCTTTGACAGTAAATGGTAAAAAAGAAATTCTCAGCACGTGCCCAAGTAAACCTATATCATTCCAAGACCTCTTCCTCATTTTCCTCTGCTTCATCTGATCCCTACCTACTTTATATCCTCTCCTCTGCTGATTAATTTTCCTATCATGACAGACACTGGTGACTACAGCTGTGTGTGTGGAGATCAACAGACTACAGCTGCTTTGACAGTAAATGGTAAAAAAGAAATTCTCAGCACGTGCCCAAGTAAACCTATATCATTCCAAGACCTCTTCCTCATTTTCCTCTGCTTCATCTGATCCCTACCTACTTTATATCCTCTCCTCTGCTGATTAATTTTCCTATCATCTTTTCCCTCTCTCTCTCTCTCTCTCTCTCCTTTCACCTGATGCCCTCTTGATGTGCTGTGTGTCGTCCTAGGTGCTATGCTGAAATGACAAGTGCAGTATAGATGCCCAACTCAACACAACCTCCCTAGTCCAGAATAGCTGCTTGTTTAGAAGTTTTCCTGTAGGGATTTACCTAAGAGTGGGAATAATATTTAATTTTTGTGACTGTTACACTTGTTGCTTCTAAGATGAACAAGTTTTCATCGATGTATGACACTACACAAGGACAATCTTAATGAAAAATAAGCTTTTTTTATGCTCCTGCTATTCCCAGCCCTTTTTAACCAATTTTGGCATAACTCTTCCAAAGCAAATACTTTATCTCTGCAGCAAGCTGACAGCATGTTTGTAAATGCTCTGTTTTAAGGGGCTCTATTTATACAAATACAGACAGTGCCATGAGTCAGGCACTCCTGTGGAACTGCTGTTTTTCTCAAGGGAAACAAAATGCTCTGAGTCTCATATTGAAATATGGCCTCTAATTTTATGTGTTTGATTTTATGGTATATAAAGTAAAGGATAGGTGGCTTGTCAACTACCTTTGCAGATAGACTTATTCTTAAAGTTTTAAAGCATGAGGACAGGAACAAAAATACCCCCAGAATTAATTATCTTTTGAAGTGTTGGAGATTGGAGTAAACTCCTCAAGGAACAACTCCCTGGTGGAGACTAAGGTCTTGTGGCTTCAGAGAGATTAAGAGAGTGAGTAGATCTTGGGTGAGGCTTTCTCAACATTGATGCCATGTCCATATTGCATTTACTCTGCAGTCCTGCCTGCTCTTTTCACCAAAGAACTGACAGATGAAGAAGGCACTGAAGGTAAAAGTGTCTCTCTGCACTGTGAACTCAACAAGGCTGCTGCTAACGTGGAGTGGAAGAAGGGATTCAAGACCCTCAAGACAAGTGACAAATACAAAATGAAACGGGAAGGTGTCATTGCTGAGCTTATAATCCAAAATCTAGACATGAAGGATGCTGGAAATTATTCCTGTGTGTGTGGAGACCAGCAGACCATGGCAGTTTTAACAGTACATGGTAAACCAAACCAAATAAGACACATACTGAAAATAACAATCCTGTTTTCTCTGTCCATTTGGACAGACACTGGCTTACATTCCCATCTTCTTCTTCTGCCAGACTCTTATCCACAGCTCACTGGTGCCAATGAAGTGCACCCATTGGTGTCCATGCAGCTGGGATGTGTGGCACAAGAGGGTTATTGGTGTCCAAGCTCAGAGTAAGGCAAGCAGGGTTGATGCCACTGTTTTAATTAGGGTCCATCATTTTGCCTTTCCCTTGAAAGATCCTTTACTAGACTCCTAGTTATGCTTAAGCCCATTAAAATGGGTTGACTCAAAGGGATTATGACTTAGGGATTTTAAGGTTTCATAAAATTCCAAAAGATTAGCTTATTCCATGGAATCTTATGTCCATACTCCATTCCTGAGACAACAAGGTGCTTTTATACTTACAGCCCAGTTGTCATTGCATTCAGTTGGTGTCCTGTGTAAAGCAAGCCCAAACCTTATGAGGGTTGACCATTCTCAGGGAGAACTTTGATCTTTACTGAACCTGACATGTTTCAAAGGGTATGTCAGTTGAGGTGAAAATGTTTGTGTTCCCACCATGTATTGAAATGAACAATTTCATTTCAAACTGACATTTAGAATGAAACTCCAGGGTTTCATTTTCTAAAAAAAAAAAGTAAAATGTCTTTATGTTTGCTTAAGTATGTGGAAACATAACAAACATTCTCCCATTATGGTTTAAAAAGTCATATAAGAAAACCATTTTTACCCCAGAAATTTCAAATTAGTGTTTATTCTTTTTTCTTGAAATTTCACAGGGGAAAAAAATGGGTTTTCTACTTCTGTTTGTATTGTTTTGTGACTCTGAGTAAATGTAAAATACCTCTATGGATTATTGCAAGCATTAAATCCTTTCCTGGTGATGATATTTCTTTCCTCATGCTGAGTCATGGAGACACTCAAGAATCTATGTTCTATTGTTGTTAAATCCATTCAAGATAAGAGGGAAAAGGAAAATTAAACATAATTTTAAGTCTTTGGAGCCCTGCATCTCACTGCTCATATTGCTGTCCTTCAGCTTTGCCTGCATTTTTCAAAGAAGGGTTGAAGAACAGGGAAGCCACAGATGGAGCAACAGCTACTCTGCACTGTGAGCTGAGCAAGGTCGGTGTCCCCGTGGAGTGGAAAAAAGGGGATAAAATACTCAAACCAAGTGATAAGTACAGGATGAGACAAGAAGAAACTGCTGCAGAGCTGCTGATCCGAGATCTGGAGGTAGAAGATACAGGAGAATATACCTGTGTATGTGGTGATCAGAAGACCTCAGCTGTCTTGACAGTCCATGGTAAAAAAAACATTCTCCATTGTGATAGCACTATCTCAAGGACATCCCTTTTTCTCTCTCTCTTTCCCACTTGCTTTGATTTTTTGACTGCAGCATTTTCTTGGTTAGCTAGGTGTGTTTCATCCCATCTCCTATTGCCTGTCAGTTTGAAACTGATGGATTTAGAGCACAGGAAAGGAGAGCTGTGAGAATTTCTTATATTAGTCTTCACTTAAAGGTGAAGAAGTCCCCTGTATGTAAGGGCAAGCCTGAACAGATGTCCAGTGGAAAGACAATTCTCAAAGGGTTTGTCATTGTTTCTCACTTATGTCAGTCAATTTTGGTGCTTAAACTGAGGGAAAGCTTTTTAAAACTGCTGAGCTTAGTTAGTGAGAGGTTTTTCCATCCAGGACTGAATGGCAATCCTTCTCTTTCGCAGGACTGAGATATATTCTGCTGAGGAAATTGACACTTAAATAAAACCCTACTCCACAGAATTCTTCTGCATGGCCTGATTTAGGGGGAGTAGTGAGGCAAATTTTGTCCCATCTTTACCATGGTGAATAGTGAGGAGCTCTGGTTGTCCCTCCAGAAGAAGGAGTTAATGTACAGTTCCTACAGATGAAAGAATAGCTTTTATTTGAGATGAATCTGAAGGATAGGATGCTTCTAAAGACAGGAGGAAAACTGTGGAGGCAAAGCTCTTCTGCCAGATTTTCTACACACTTTTGCTTCCTCTTCTTTCTCCTATCTGGAGGAATTTCTCTTCCTCCCCTCCTTTGACCTGGTACTTTCATCCCTGTACAAGTCTCTTTTCACTTTAGTGGCACATTGCAAAGCAACTTGTTGAATGCTGCTAAAAAATACATGACCTGTAATCCTGATAATCAAGCCATTATGTCCTTGGAAACTGTGGCTTAAAGGTGTGTCTGAAGTTATATTTCTAATTTATTTTCTGAACCAAAAAGATAAATTATGCTGTTAGGAAAGGTAGGGATCTCCAGATAGCAGTGCTGTCATCTTGGTCAATGACTTTCAGTCAAAATTCAGGTCATTAATGTACAAAACAGATGACTTCAGACTGAAATAGGTAGAAAGGACTCCTGGAATCAGCTGTAAAGTGATGAACATGCTGATAAGTCAATGTTAGAAGCAGGTCATGATGGCAATTATCCCTGTGTGATCTCGCAGTAGTTTTCTAATAGAAAACTATTTTCCAAGACTGTATGATTTGTTTACCTGTAATGGTGAAGTACTGGCCACAGGACCTAGTCCCAAGTTCCTCAAGGTCTGGTTAATGGTTTTGATGTCCTCTCTGTTTATATTACATCCCATAGCTTTGCCTGCACAATTCAAAAAAGAGCTTGTCAGTCTGGAAGCCACAGAGAACAGGACAACAGTTCTGCAGTGTGAGTTGACCAAACCTGCTCCAGTGGAGTGGAGGAAAGGGCAAGAGGTGCTCAAACCTAGTGAGAAGTACAAAATGAGACTGAAGGATACAATTGCTGAGCTGACAATCCACAATCTGGAGGAACAAGATGCAGGAGATTACACATGTGTGTGTGGAGACAAGATGACTACTGCTTCCCTGACAGTGCATGGTAAAATATTCAGGTTTAATAGGAATTTTCTGCTTTGTAGTCTGTGATGTCATGCAGGATCACAATCTAGTTTTGATCACATCTATTGTTTTAAAATGTTATGACAACTGTACCAACCACTGGGAATATCTTTCACTGAATGTCCTTCCCTTGGGCCTGATAAATAGCATCATACAGTATTTTCAGTCCTTGCTCTTTCCTCTTGATGGAATCTGGAAGCAGATAATGAAAAGCTTGATTTAGTCATAAATAGCACTTGGAGTTTTTCCACTAATTAATTTCTTTAGGGTGAATCACTGAGATTTCACTTGTTTTTCTTGAATGGAGTTGAAAAGTTATGAAAACATTGCAGCCTGTAATTTTACACAACATAGTGTTCATTTTAATTCTTAATCTGATCCTAAGGCTGAGCTGTGCATAGTTCCTTGAAATCCTGGGATCAGCCTTCTGTGGGTATATCTTAAAACTATATAAATATAAAATATATATATGTAATATACCTTCTAGTACTGAAATTATACTTTGACAACACTGATTTCCAAATCAGTGAGTTGAGAAGTTGAGACTGGTGTGATGCACCATTTCATGCTGTGGTCCATACCACAAAATACACCCTGACTTATTCATGAGGTGTTTTCCAGGTGTACAAAGTCACTCTTTTGTGGTTCTCAAACTGGTTATCAATCAACACTGATTTCCAAATCAGTGTGACATGCTGAATGTGGCATGTTGCAATGCACAAGGCAGGGATGTCCCCAAAATCATTCTTTGCCTCTCAGGTACTGTATATTATAAGACTTTTAGAGATTGAATGGTTTTAATCAAGTGGAGCAGTCAAGACACAGTATTTCCTCAGTTTTAAAGTGCTCTCTCTCCACCTGTGATCTTCAGCCCTTCCTCCACATTTTAAAAAAGAGTTGAAGAACGTGGAAGCCATAGAAAATGGCACAGCCACTTTCTGCTGTGAACTGAACAAGCCTTCAGCTGCCGTGGAATGGAAAAAAGGAGACAGAGCCCTGGGGACAAATGACAAGTTCACCACGAGATGTGAGGGAACAATTGCTGAGCTGGTGATCCGTGATTTAAATCTGACAGATGCTGGAGATTACACATGCTGTTGTGGAGATCAGAAAACCACGGCTGTGCTAAAAGTCAATGGTAAAAAAAATAGAAATATATAACAAATTAAAGGTTTATTATCAAGCTGCTATTTTTTAAGACCACAGTAGTATCAGCTTTGAAATTGTAGCCCTTTTTGCCAGGAATTTGGCAAAAATGTGGTTAGACACAAATGTCTGAATGCTTTGGTCAGTATCAGGCACAAGTCAGGTTTCATGGCAAAAATTTCAGATATTCATCTCAATCCTAACTCATTTCTTTGCTGCTTATCTTCAGTAGTAGGTGCTAAGAAAGGAAAATCATATTGTTATATTGGTTGTAAAGATGTCACAAGCCTAAGGTTGAGAAGATTACTATTTGTTGATGAGATATTTTTGATACAGTTCTTAGTGTTTCAGAATAATTTGATGGCCAAGTTTTGCTAGATCACTATATGAGGAGAAATAAGAGTATTTTGGGTTGGAAGGGACCTTTAAAGGTCCCTTATGGTCTCATGGAAAAGAGAAATTGGTCCCTCAGATAGAGTTTCATTTATGAAATTTTGAAGTAATAATTTCTATTCCAATAGAATTTTTAGACACTGGTTAGGCTTTATTTTCCATTCTGGCAGGCAATACTCAAAGTTTGGGCACAGTCTTGCAGGTCTAAAGATGTTGGTGTGGTTCTCCATTTCATGCCATCAACCATACCATAAAAAAAATCTGTCTTATGGACAGGGTGTTTTCCAGCTTTCCAAAGTCACTCTTTTATGGTTCTCAGAGCAGTTATCAGCCCTTCTTGATTAGGGAAGGCTTTGCTTGTCACATGTGGTTGATAGACTACAGCTAAATGGTTACTTGAATATTTGCCATGTTCACACATTCTGCTCATCTTGAATTCCTCAGCCTTGCCTGCATACTTCAAGGAAGAGATGAGGAATGAAGAAGCCACAGAAGGTGGAACTGCCACTCTCCTGTGTGAGCTCTCTAGGGCTGCCTCTGTGGAGTGGAAAAAGAAACACAAAGTGCTCAAATCGAGTGAAAAATATACTATGAGGCAGGAAGGCACTACAGCCCAGCTGCTGATCCATGATTTAGAAGTCAAGGATGCTGGGGAATATACCTGTGTGTGTGGAGAGGAGAAGACAACTGCAGCACTGACAGTGCATGGTAATGAAAACAGAAATGAGCCATTTCTGTGTGATGTTTCTCCCTTTCTCCTCTGGAAGCCTCAGTACTGACACACGAGTTCTTTCTCTAATCCTGTCATCATTAATTCTGTTGGTAACAGATTTTCTCTCTTTATTGTGTTTTTTTTAAAAAAAATCTAATTCTGACTAGAACTGTACTTCCATGGATTATACTAATATTTTCCCTGTTTTCTTCATACTTCTTTAAATGAGTGATTAGATTTCAAGTTATATTAGGATTTGAGGAGTAATTTTAAATAATGCAAGCAAAAGTTGATTCAATGCAATTTTTCTATATAGCTCTGACCCAGAACTATATAGACTTGTATTTGGATAGTGCAGAATACTCAGCATTATAGTGGGAGAATATTTCATAGTCCTCTGTCAAATTCATCTGCAAACTTTCCTTGGAAGAGAGGGAAGCTTTATTTCCACTATTAACACAGAACAGTCAGAAGCAGTTTCAGCCTCTTTCTTACCTGGAAATTCAGCACATCTGTGAGTAGATTTCTTTGCTTTACTGCCCAGATCTTTTAGTCCTTGTATTTACCAATGAAATGGTTGGACTTGATGGTCTTAAAGATCTCTTCCAACCCTGATGATTCTATGATTCTTGATGATTCTGTGAAACAAGAATTGTTTCAGTCTTGAACTTTCAGTATAACCATGGAAAACAGAATTGCAATGGACTTCTACAGGTCACTTAGTCTATCCTCAAGCTCCAAGTCACTATCAGTACTGCCAGAAAGCTCTTAATTTCAACAAAAGCCATTCTTGAGCTGTCATAAATCATTACTTCTTATGCCATATTCTGTAGAAAGTGAGAAATATTAGCTTTTTTTTTCCTCTCTTTGTGAAACTGTTTCACAGAATTGAAAACTTTCATCTTATTTCCTTTCTGTTTTCTGGACTAAGCACCTTGAATCATTTTATTCTTCATTCATAGGTCATGTTTGCTAGACTTAGGGTCATCTTTGTTGTTTTCTGGAGCATCTTAATTTAATCCACTTCTAGAAAGAAGTGAGATGACCTCAAGCAGATTACAGCACTCCATCTGAGGTGTTTCCAGAGTGGAGCAGGATGGAAGGACATCATATATCTTGTATGCAACATTCCATTTTATATATTCCTATTATGGTGATTTCTTTATTCACATCAGACTTGCATTTTATGACTTGCATTTGCTCCAAGATATCTTGTAATCCCAAATCCCTCTGTGCAAATCTACTGCTTGTTGTTCTCTATCTTGTATTTGTATTGTTGATTGTTCCTAAACAGGGTATTTTGTACTCACTCTTGCTAAATTGCAGCCTGTTTCTTCACCACTACTTCACTGAGGTCTTCTATACTTAGTCCAGTTTTAAAAAGTGATTTCACCTTCTCTCCTTTCCCACATTGAGATCATCTGCAAAATTAATGACAACTCTGCATTCCTTTGTCCAAGTCACTAAAGAAAATGCTGACTAATACTGGATTCCAGAGTACTGAGGATCTCTCTCAACTCATTCTTTTAATGTGAGTGTAAATCCCAGTTGAATATTCTTTGTTGTTTCCAAATTAGTATCACATTCCACTGTAATTCCATCTAAATTAAAGGAAGAGCTTTACTATAGTAACAGTGTACAGCACCTACTGTGTCTTTCTGTCAGTAAAGTTAAATCTATGTCAAGAAAAAATTGCACTGATCCACTCCTTCATGAAGAGAAAAGTTCTTGGCAAGTCCTAGTTTTTCAGAGAATTAAGCTGAAGTGGTCACAATTTCTAGAATCTTCTCTCTGCTGACAATCTCTTCTTTCTTTTCCAAGACAAGCACTATGAATGGGATTCATCCTGTAGATCAAGACTGGTGAGTATTCCTAAATTCCTGTTTTTGTCAATGGAGAACTAGTCAACTCTGTCCATGGAAGACAAGGAAACATCCAGTTCACCCTATAGCAGAAGCTCTGTTTGCAGGTATCTCTATTGGCTCCACTGTCTTTACCTGGATCTTTCTTGGCTCTCTAGGAGTTCAGACTCTTGGTTTACATGGTAGAACTAAATGTGTGTACTTCAATCTGTGAGACCTTTTTCACCTCTGAGTTTCTATTTTTTCCCATACTTGTGGAACATCACCCATTCTCTTTGATTTCTCCAGTCTAACTGTTAATGTGTGAAATTGCTTGAGCCAACACCTTCCATGACAAATTTTATCACACCAAGGTGCTTTGAGAATACTCAGTTTATTCAAATATTCTCTAATCATTTTTTCTTTTTCCTACCCAGAATTCCTATTATTTTCTTATCTATGATTAACCTTTAATATTAAAGAAAAAGGAATTAATTCCTTCAGCTTTCCCCATGTCACTCGCCATCATCTTACTATCCTGTGAAGCAAAAACAAATTCTCCCTTGTTCTTTTCCTTCCCTCTGATCTACCTACAGACTGTCACTATATTATTTGTTTCTTCTAGTCAGACTGACCAGGTTTCCTGGGATTTGCATGCCAGTATTCTGATATAGCCAAGAGTCACAAGTTGAACTGTGAGCAGAGAACACAGAAAGCTCCTGGAGAAATGATCTTGCCACCCAGTTGCTGGACAAAACTACATACAGCTGTGTCTGGAGACACTTGATGTTAGGAAAAAATAGGGTTTGCCTCTACATTCTGCTGTACATCTTTTGCACTCATCTAGACCTCCCATATTTTATAGTCTCTTGATTTTCAGGACACTGAAGAATTTGTAATTTTGTCAGGCTATCCCTGATGATCCTTGGAGTGAGGTACTCTCTGTAATTATGCCCTTAATATTGTTTCTTTGAGGAGTTTTCCACTGTCTTAAACTACCTTTAAGTTTGCTTCTGCTTGATCATAAGTAACAGTTCTCAAATTATTGAAGCTTGCTTTCTTGATGCCCATGGAATTTTCTTCTCTTCTTCTCCATCATTACTTGTCCTAAAATCCATGAGCTTTCCTGCTACATAATCCATGTCTGCACAATTATCCTCCTCATCCTTATTCTCAAATATTTATTTCTTGCTGATCAGAGTCAGGAGCTGGAGACTCTCCTCTCCTGTTCCTTCATAGCTATTCTCTATCCAAATGTGGTTCCCACCCCATTTCAAAGACTTAGCAGATGTTGTCCTATCCTTCTGCTCCCACAGTATATACTACCACATTACCATCCAGTCTTCCACTCTGAATGATTCTATTTGTTGTTCCAAAATCGATGGAGCCTCAGGATGCACCCAAACTTCCTTGTGTGAAGGTCTTATAGCAGATTTCCACAATGGAGACATTGTCCTTCTTTTTCCTTTTTATTGCTACCCTAGCACTTTCAAGAGATCTCTCTGATTCTACTCTTCAGTCTAATCCTAACTTTGGGCTAGGTCTGTAGGTGTCCTTAACATCTAAGGTAAAACCTTTTCATCTTCTCCTTTAGCTTTTTTTCCCCCGATGATGCTGTAACCTTCTATATCAATTTTCCAGGCTGGATTATACTGAGATAGTTACATTTTTTTTTTTCCTGCTGTTTATTCTCCATGCAGCTCTAAACCAGCCCATTGTACAAACCCTTTTGTGCATATGCCACAAATTAGTATCTTCCTTCTGTGAGATGACCCTCATGTCAATAACAATGGATAGATACTGATAAACATCAGCTTAATTTATTTTGGTGATCAAGAACTGCTTATCATGAAAACATTTGCTCCTCTGTTTCTCAGCCCTTCCTGCTCTCTTCAAAGAAGAGTTAAGAGATGAGGAAGCCGAGGAGGGTAAAGCAGTCACTCTGCACTGTGAGCTGACCAAGAGTGCTTCAGTGGAGTGGAAAAAGGGACACACAGTGCTCAAACCTAGCGAGAAATACAAAATGAGGCAGAAGGATGTCACTGCAGAACTGGTGATCCATAATCTAACTGAGAGTGATGCTGGTGATTACACCTGTGTGTGTGGGGATAAGCAGTCCACAGCTTCCTTAGCAGTACACGGTAATAACCAATTCCATCCCCATGTCCTCATTATTGAGCTTATGCTTGGAATTATTTTTTTCTCCATGTTCATTGTTACCTGTCCATAGCTCCTCTGAGTCTTTCTCATGGTGTAGTCATGAGGATTAATTTTGTGATTTAAAGGAAAAACCTTCACCCCAATTCCATATACAAAGTGATTTTAGGACTTGATCCCCAAAACAAATATGAGATCAAGTCTGAAGACAGCTCCACACTGAGGCTCTCTCCTTTCCTTCCCCCACCCCTGCACTCCCCAGCAGGTTGTGTTTGCTGCTCATTTTAACCCTCTCCCCATTGCATCCTCAGTGCTACCTGCAGGCATCAAGGAGAGCCTGAAGGACGAGGAGGTAACGGAAGGCCAAGTGGCCACTCTGCGCTGTGAGCTGACCAAGGCTGCTCCAGTAGAGTGGAGAAAGGGCAGCAGTCTGCTCAAAGTCAGCAACAAGTACAAAATGAGGCAGGAGGGCACAGTCATGAAGCTGCTAATCCATGATGTAGAACTGAAAGATGCTGGAGAATACACGTGTGTGTGTGGAGAACAGGAGACAACAGCTGCCTTGATAGTGCATGGTAAACAAACCATATGCATAGATCTGTATTGTTGTGTATTTCTTTGTCAGCTCATTGATATTGGTTGTGTGTTCACCTGTGAACAAATAGTTTATTTATTGTGAATTTATTGTAAACTCCCTGTAAGATCTGGTTGTATGCAGGCTGCTTTTCTCCTTCTGTCTGTTGGTTTGTCCAATGTCCCAAAATTATGAGGGGGAAAAAAGTCTTTCCACCCTAAACTGCTCTCTGCTTCTGTACCACACCACCCCTCCTGTCAGCTGTGTGCCATGTGTCATTTTTAATGCCCTCTGTCCATTTTGTGACCTTCAGCCCTGCCAGCACTTTTCAAAGAAGACCTGAAGGACCTGCAAGTCACAGAAAGCCAAACAGCCACTCTGCGCTGTGAGCTGACCAAGGCTGCAGCTGTGTCATGGAAGAAAGGAAACAAAATACTCAGGGCAAGTGAAAAATACATCATGCAGCAGGACAATGTCCTTGTTGAGCTGGAGATCCGTGATCTAGAGCTGCAGGATGCAGGAGACTATACCTGTGTGTGTGGAGATCAGCACACCACAGCATCTCTGACAGTGAAGGGTAAATTTGGATCACTGTTCATTTTTTTTGATTCTCTGAAATATCCTGTTGGTTTATGAAGTGTTCAGCTATCAGCTTTTTTCCTAGGAATTAATTTGTGCTCAGAAAGGAGAACTTATTGTTCTGCCATTTAATTTTGGTCTGATATTCCTGAAAAGGAAGCTGAGGACTTGACTGTCTCTCCATACAGACAAACTTCAGTGTTGCAAGTTTAAGGGAATAGCACCCAGAAAATGCCCCAGTTAGACCACCTGAGATGTCCTGTCCCTGTGATAAATTCTTTAAATTGCCTCTTGAATCCATCCAACCTGTTGTACTTTGACCTGTCAGCTCAGCAATTCTTTTCTTACTGTCACTTCTGGATTTAGTTTTCCAGATCATTGTAGTGATAACCTCAACATAAATGGCCAAAGACCCTGATTTGGCCAGATTGGAACTTCAGTTGGTAAGTCATAATGCTGATCTCTTAGTTTAAATACACTATTGACTTTCCATTCCCAGCCCTGCCAGTGCTTTTCAAGGAAGAACTGAAGAATGAAGAAGTCCAAGAAGGAGCATCAGTCACTCTGCATTGTGAATTAACCAAAGAAGCTCCAGTGCAGTGGAATATAGGGCCCAAAGTGCTCAAAGCAAGTGAAAAATATCAAATGAGACAGTCTGGCACCACTGCAGAGCTGGTCATTTGTGATCTAGAAGTAAAAGATGCTGGAGATTACACCTGTGTATGTGGTGACCAGAAGACAACAGCAACCTTGACAGTTCATGGTAAAAAGACCTTATTAAAATTGATATATAGCTCTATAGATAGACATCACTCTGAAATTCTTCCCTGAGTCAGTAGCTTTTCTTTATTTCTTTATCTCTTTATCTTCCTTTATTTTACTTATAATGCATTTCTTACTGAGAAAGAGTTGGCCATGGTGATTTTTTGAGTCACTTTTAATCTGTTCTCCTTTCAAAGGGGAAAATGAGATGTTTCTTTCTGTCCAAGTTCCTTCTTCTTGGATATTTATATTTTCCAGTTTCAACCCTATGGTTCACTTTAGTCAACCACAGTTTGCTCCAAAACACACAGGTATGGTCTGTCAGGTCCTCTGCTTTCCAAGAACTGCTCAAATGAGAAGTGAGGGTTGGGGGAGCAGAAGGAGGAGGAGTTGTCACTCTCCTGCATCACCTGGCCATGGTTGCTTCTGGTGGTACCAGATTTTTTAAGCAAGCCATATGTGCAGAGTAAGATAAGAGTTACCATTCCACCCTAACCCAGGTTTGAAGGATGGGGCATCAACACCTCTCTGTGGGGATCAGGAATACCCTAACAGTTAGGAATTAAAATCAACAAACCAACACCACAGGTTATCACAAGTTATGCTCTTCTTTATCCTCCTAGCTCCCAATAAGCCAATCCATAAATAAATCCTTATGTTAATGACCTCATGACCTGATATTCTGCTCTCCTCTCCTTGATGAGTATCCATTTTAATGGAGTAACAGTCTTTGGTGCTGAGCAACTTGCTTGGTCAGACATCCAGTTCTTTTTCCTCCAGATTTTCCTGCAGCCTGGGATATGGGTTTTCCTGAGGCTTTTGAGGAGTACTGTTTGTATTCTGTACTCCCTTAGAGCAGTTGTGCACAAGGCACTTCTGTGGGTAAATAATAAGTTTTCCTGGAGGTTTTTTCCTGCAGGTTGTTTTGTCTTTGAGTTATGATTTCCAAAATGGGAATAGTAAGAATCTGAAATTCTTATTATATGTAATGATTCTCCAAACTTCAATTTAAAACCAGGAATAGTTTTATTTTGAAATCTGGCTGCTTTCATGTAGGTAGGGCTGTAAGGTTTTTAGTAAAAAACAAATAGAAAATAACAATTCCAACAATTATTTCAAGAAATCATATCTTTGTGGGTAAAATAGTCTTGTATCCAGCAGTGTTATTTGTGAGGGTTATTGATCCCAGATCTAGGTCTTTTTGTTTTGTTCTTTTGTTATGAAAAACAACAGACATTCATGGAACTGATCCCTTATGGTAAGTGAAACCATAACACACTTATAGAATGATTTTGGAGTCTCTGAACTTGGTTATGTCTAAGTACGTCTATAATAGGCTGGGAAAAAAAAAGGCATGAGGGGAAATAATCTCAAGGATGAAAAAGAAATTGGGATTTTAATTCTGATGACCTTTTGTCCATGTTGCAACCTTCAGCTCTGCCACCACTCTTTAAGGAAGAGCTAAAGGACAAGGAGGCAGAAGAAGGTGGAGAAGTTGCCCTGCACTGTGAACTCACCAAGGCTGCTCCGGTGGAGTGGCTGAAGGACCAGAGGATTCTCAAACCCAGTGAGAAATACAAAATGAGGCAGGAAGGGACCAAGGCAGAGCTGGTGATTCATGAAATAGCTGAGGAAGATGCAGGAGACTACACCTGTGTGTGTGGAGAGCACCAGACTACAGCTGTCTTAACAGTACAGGGTAAAGCCATCTTGACCTCCTGTTTGCTAACTGGAAACCTCTGTCCCTTACTATAAGCTATAACCTATTCAGTTTTTCCATCTGTTTGTTCAACCTTATTAACTGAAGTTCCATTCATTTGCAAATGTTCCCTGCCTCTGCTCACCTGCAGGCTGTGCAAATTGGAAAATTTCTGCCTGCATTTCTCTTCCATCCTTTTGTCTTTTCCTTTTCTCAAACTCAAACCTGTTACCTTTTCATCTTTCTCTTCTGGCATTCCTTTCCCAGCACATAAACCCACTATTCTTTGGTCTTTCCTTTCCTGCATTTGCTCTCTAAATCTCAAATCTGTTTATTCTTTGTCATTCTTTTCTGGCATTCTCAATTCTGACCTTTCTAATGTGCTATAGGGAATAAGAACTATCCAGAATAAGGCTGTACTAGTTAGAATCTTCTGCACTGAGTTATGTTTATATTGGGTTTTGTGCCCATAACCTCTGTCCTAATGCACAAAGGTAGACTTCCATTTGGAGACTGATTTTCTAAGGCTGCAGACCTCCTTCTGCTCTGATTTTCTTGGATGAACTAGTTGCTGTGCAAACAAAACTCGTGCTTCAGCTTAACACTATTGGAATGGGAAATGTGTCAAAGCAAGGAGGATAAAGGTGATTTCTAGCGTGGATATTTTAATTTAGTCTTACTGCTATGGACATTAAGTTTGAGATCTGAGATATCCAACCTTGTTAAACAGGTGAAATATCCCATTATCCCACCTAGTGAATAGAGGGACATGTGTGAAGGTCACCACATTTATTTAAAGGACACAGCTTGCAATGGATGCAAGAACTAAGTTAAGTGGGGAAAATGTGTTCTGAGACAAGAACACACACTGACATTCAGCATGTGGAGATTTTCTTTTGGGTCAAGAAGAGTCTATGAGCCCTGAATGCAACTTTTCAAGGATAACTCAAGGAAGAAGGAATGAGAATGAGTACGGAGCTGTGCTGACACTCAGAACACAGCAGGGAAGCTTTATAAGCAGCAAAAGAGAGTACAAAGGCATGAAGTTTGCAGAATACACCAAAACATGTGAACTAACAAGGTCAGAGACAGTATTCATGGTTTTTCTGATGTGAAAACTGATAGAAAGCAGTTATAAATCTCTCGAGGACAATGTAATTCTGCTAGCAGGGAGCCAGCATAAGCCTAAAGCATTAGGGCATATATTCCCACTAAGATGTTTTCATTTCTCTTTCCTCTCTTTGTTGCTGATGCTCACCCTTCCATAACCTTCACAACTTTTCCCTGTCACTTCCTTCTCTCTTCCATCTCTGGAGGTAGCCTCAGTTTGTAATGCTTTTAACCTGCATCCTTCAGCTGTGCCTCCATTTTTCCAAGAAGAAATGACCAGCAAGGAAGCCATGGAAGGCGGAACAGCCACTTTGCACTGTGAGCTCAGCAAAGCATGTGCCCACGTCCAGTGGAAGAAGGGCCACCATGCCCTCACCTCAGACAACAAGTACAGCATGAGACAGGAAGGCTGTGTTGTGGAACTGGTGGTTCATGACTTAGAGCTGAATGATGCTGGAGATTATACCTGTGTGTGTGGAGACAAGACCACTACAGCTGCCTTAACCGTGCATGGTAAAGTAATCCTTGGGATGAAAGTCCTCCAAACCTTACAGCTGCCCAGGTCTCTATTGTTATGGTCTGTCCCATTCCCCTTCTGTTTGTTTGGGCTTTTATGTTCCTTTGGACTTTCTGTGTTTCGTTCTTGTGTTAGAATTGGAAAAAGAGTTCCCTGTTGGTGTCTGTCTCTCTTAGCTGTGCTGGTTCATCTCACTTTCCTTGTCCTAATGCAGTGTCCAGGGAAGCTGGGGGAGATTTTTCCATTGTGCTCCACTGACCTGGACCAGGGCTCGGTATTGCACCATTCATCCTCTCCCGTAGGATCTCATGTAGCTGCTTTTGAAGGAATATTCACACTCTCTATGGTAACTATTTTACTATTCAGCTCTGCCTCCAGAATTCAAAAGAGCCCTGAAGGACCTTGAAGCTGTAGAAAATGGTACAGCTGCTCTGCACTGTGAGCTGACGAAACCTGCTGTGGTGGAGTGGAAGAAGGGACAGGAGTTGCTCAAAGCAAGCAGCAAATATAAAATGAGTCAAGATGGTGCTGTTGTAAAGCTGATTATCCATGAGCTGGATGTGGAGGATGCTGGAAATTACACCTGTGTGTGTGGAGATCAGCAGACAACTGCCACTCTGAGAGTCAATGGTAAAAAAGAGGAAAAGCTTCTAATATTTTCTGAAAATAAAAACTGTGGTTTAGTGTTGTTTAAGGAAAAGACCTGGCTACAAATAATAAGGTGTGCAGGATAGTATGGTCTATGCAGTTCATAGAATGATCAGGTAGAAAAATGAGAATTGCAATGCAGAACTAAATGCATTTAGATTCGTGAAACAGTATGTTACTGTCAGATTAATCATCATCTCTCTTGCAAGTGGCCTGCCTTAGGAGGGACATGAACTCTTAAAACTCCCTGCCTAAAGAGGGAATCTGAACTCTTAAAATTCCCCGATTTAAGAGGGAATCTGAACTCTGATCTTCAGAATACTTCTTCAGTAATCAGGACAGCATGTTAGCTACTTTTGTAGTAGGAAAACTGTTCTGCAATTTTTAGATCATAGATCAGATTAAGCTTTTCTATATTTCATGACAACCATAACTTCTTGAAAGCCATTTCTTCTTGTTCTGCAAGTTATTCCTATTACTTCCCTGGGGAAATAGCTTTGTACTATGAATCTAGATCTCTGAGGTCTAGAGACATCTGCAAAAAAAATTCTTTTGGTGCTTTCATTTTCTTCCCCCTTTCCCAAACCCCAGTATGCTGCAAGTCATGTTTCTATTTTATAGCTCTACCAGCACTTTTTAAACAAGAACTTCAGAACACCGAGGCAGAAGAAGGTGGTACAGCAACACTGAAGTGTGAGCTTACCAAACTCAAGGCTCCAGTAGAGTGGAGGAAAGGGGATATTACTCTCTACCCTGGTTTGAAGTATGAGATGAAGCAGCAGGGCTCCACTGCTGAACTGGTCATTTATGACTTAGAACTAGATGATTCGGGAATGTACACCTGCGACTCTGGACATCAACAGACAACGGCTGTGCTGACTGTACATGGTAGGCAGTGTGTTGACCCTTGGCTCAATAGAGGTGAAGTGAAAGGAGCTTCTCTCAGTGTTCTCTACAGTCATTTATTTGCTTTGCTGCTGGTCCATGCCAGCATAAATGTTCTTCTTGAGCATGACAAATGGTCAAGTTAGAAAGGTTCTTCTTGCAGTATCTGGAGTGATTAATGAGTATCAAAGCAATTAAACCTTAGAATCATAGAATGATAGAATGGTTTGGGTTGGAAGGGTCCTTAAAGATCATCTCATTCCAATCCCCCTGCCATGGGCAGGGACACCTTCCACTAGGTCATGTTGCTCCAAGCCCCATCTAGCCTGGTCTTGACCATTGTCATGATGTCAAAATATGCTGGGAGTGTGACTGGATATGGGAATGGCATAAGGGATGCCTAATTGAATGATGCCTGATTGGGATAATAAGACATGCAACAACTGGGGAGTAAAGGATTTCTATGACATGTCAATGTGCTATATTACTATTTGAGGCTTTGAGCCTCAGGTGTAAACTTTGACCGCAGACAACTTGCATCCACATCTGTTTTCCTCCACCCCTTCTACTATCCAGAGTGAGACCTTGCCTGAAATCTGAATTTTCTCTCCCATTTTTCACTTAATGTGTTCTTGGATGCTAATTTGTTCATTATATGTCGATACAAGCCTTATTTGGGGAAAAAAAATGACTGCTTAATAATGCAAACTCACCTGCCTTTATTAAGGAGCAAAGGTCCATGTAAGAGAGAGCATGTCACTAAGGCATCTGTAGTTGGCACAGAGACTTCCACAGGAAAGTCTGACTCCTTCAGATCACAAATCAGGCCACAAACCACTCTCTAAGACCAGATCTTTCATAACTGCTCCATCTGCCCTCAGCTCTTAATTCACATAATGGTTCAAGAAGGATGCTACCAAGACAGAGAGTTGCAGCCCAAGGATTATGTAATCTTTTCTGAAGAATGATGGTAGGATTGGGTCTTTTTTGGACTAAAACACTCTCAAAACATTTCCCTCTCAAATTTTGCAGCACTGCCTGTCACATTTAAGCAACCCCTACAAAATAAGCAATCTGAGGAAGGCAGCACAGTCACATTCTGCTGTGAGCTGTCGAAACCCAGTGCTGAAGTGGAATGGAGGAAAGGAGGAATGGGGCTGCAACCCAGCCAGAAATATGAAATGAGACAGAGGGAATGCCTGGTAGAGCTCTTAATACATAATCTCAAATTAGAAGATACAGGAGAATACAGCTGTGATACTGGGGATCAGGAAACCAAGGCTGCTTTGAACGTGAAAGGTACGTGAGCTGATTCCTAAAGCAATAGATTCCATCCAACATGCAAAGCAACAGTTGGAATATGAATATTTTTAGGTATACTATTCTTTTTCTCTATGAACATTTTCCTTTTCATTTGATATATTAGGATTCAATTTTTAAAAATAGAGAATGGAAGAGGATGAAACTTTGTTCTTCCAGTGCTGCATTTGAGTTTGGGATTCTAATAAGAAATACTTTCTAGATTTATGTCTGAGAAGAAATTAAAGAACATGAAACACTTTCACATAACCTTTGGACATTTCACATGACATGTTGTTTAAATATTTTTAAAAAGATTTTCTTCCAAATCCTGTAAGAAGACTGACAACAACCTTCCTCATCTGTCAAGGCTGCCCATGGAGTTTTGAACTTCTTTGCTCTTGAGATCATTATTAGATCAGCTGAAGGTTAAATCCATTCAAAGAATTCAACTCTGGGAAGGATTTGAGTCAAGGAACAAAAGAAAGAAGTGTTAGAGGTGCAGACAGCTGCTTCTGATGCAGTAAGATCTTCTAGTAGCTCCAGGCAAATTAGAAAACATGGATTCTGCCTAGGAATATCACACATGCAAAGCAGAGTATCTTGTTCTCTGAAGTGTCAGTCTACCTGTGTTAACCAGGACTTGACTCAGGCTTCAATAAAAGCTCCTGTTGCTTCTTTTTTTCTCCTTTAGCTCTGCCAGTTCTTTTCAAAAAGGAGCTCAAAGATGAGGAGGCAGAAGAAGGAGCTGCGGTGAAATTCCAGTGTGAGCTGACAAAGGATAACGCGACAGTGGAGTGGAGGAAAGGCACCATGGAGCTCTTCCCATGTGCCAAATATGAAATGAAATTACATGGTCACACAGCTGAACTTGTGATTCATAATGTAGAACCAGAGGATGCCTCTGATTACACATGTGACACAGGAGACCAGCAGAGCACAGCAGTCCTCAGAGTGAATGGTTAGCAATACATCGAACTACTACAGAAAACAAAAGGCATTTGTGAAACACTGTGAATGAGATTCTTTTGTTATTGGTGAATAAACCACTCCAAAAGTTAAGATAGTGAGGAAAACAGGTGCCCAGTCATAAAGCAGAGTACAGAAAAATGGAGCTTGTGGGACAGGATTCCTATTTAAGCCTGTAAAGCACAGTGCACAGTACATCAACCCTTTGCTCTGATATGAGAAAACCAAGACAGTGCATCACAGGGATTTTTAAATTGTGATAGAGGTTTCTTTTTGTTGCTTTGCATTCTTTGCTCTGTCACTTGAATTAATAACTAATCACATGTCATTTACAAAAGTATTTAAAATTTACTATTTTGAATCTTCTCATGAAAACCCTGAGAACACTGTGTTTAACCAAACCAGCAATAATGTCTGTGATTGATCACAGAATGGGAAAGGTTGGAGGGACCACAGTGGGTCATCTGGTCCAATCTCCCTGCTCAAGCAGGGTCATTCTAGCACCATCTATGAAATGTTGGTGGCCATCTCAAACTGCTGAGTGGAACTTAGACGAAAGCCACAACCTTTCAAACTACATCTCTTTGGCTGAACCTGATCCATGAAGCAGCCACAGGGTCAACTCTGAGTGAAAGCCCTATGATTGCTTTACATGTCTCACAGTGGAGTTTAGACAGGGGAACCACAAGTACTGAGATTCCCATTTTCCCAACTGCTCACACACACACACGTGATGGATGCTCCCTTCTTGTTTCCATCCATGACAAGCTGTTGTCTGAGCTGTTCCATGTCCCACTTGAATAAATGTCCATTTGTTTGTGCATTGTCTGGAAGGACTCACTGGGGATGATCTAGGGTCTTGAAAAGATAGTTGAGAAATCAGAAATTAGTTTAAAGCTTTAGGTGCTGAAAATGATGAATATTTCTATCAAAATGAACAGATTTATGCTGGTTTTGAACAGAAAATAATAGGTTTTGCATAGTCAAAAATTTTTTGTGTGTTGAAATTTTCAATATTCAGAGCAGATGTGTAAAAGCTGTGATGTGGATGCCTTTGACTTTATGGAAAACAAACATATTTGGAGAATTTTCTGATCTTCTCCTTGGCTGGATATACAAAAATATAAGTCTGTTTAGAGGGGGGGAAAGTGTTTAATTATCATATAATCACTTCATGCAAGTTTGTTCTGCAGCATCAGCCCCCAGGTGCCTTGTGCTGAGTTGCGAAGACCTGGGCAGCAGATCATGTATTATTTATTCCTCACTTTGCAGCCATCAAGCCCAAACTGAAGCAGCAGCTGAAGAATGAAGAAGTGGAAGTGGGAGGAACAGCCAGGCTGCGCTGTGAGATTTCCATCAGCAAAGCAGAAGTGGAGTGGAGGAAAGATGGAGTTGTCCTTCACTCCAGCTCCAAGTATGAAATGTGGCAGGATGGGACCCTCCGTGAGCTCCGTGTTCATCACCTGGAGCCTGGTGATGCTGGAGAATATTCCTGCAAGGCTGGAGACGAGATGAGTTCTGCCAAACTGACCGTGAAAGGCAAGAGCTGCAAGGGGATTTTCACTTTAGGAAACTCAGATTTCACAACATAGTTGCTATTATTGTGATAAACTATTGTGACATAGAGTATAGGAAAGTATCATAAACAAATCTTATGGTCAATGAATGCACCAAAGCAAAGACTGACTTGTTGGACAGGAGAGGATAAATCAGCTGTAATTTGTGACTCATAGCTTGAAATATTTGCTTGACATCATATGCATGTGTGAACAGATGGTTCATCCCCAGCTTCCAGTCACATGACAGCTGCATCTGTCCTTAATGTCATTACAGACAGAGCTTGCATTCAGGTTGGACCACTAGTGTGGAACAAACACTGCCAGCATCTCTACAGGCTACTCCATGTTGTAGATACTCTGTGCATTACACTCAGCTGCAGCATTTTTAGTGCAGATGGTGACCTCAGTTGTAGGAATATCTCCTATGCTTGCTCAGATGAATATCATGCTGCTTTTTTAATAGCTGGATTTGACAATCTTAGAGGTCTCTCCCAGCCTTAATGATTCTATGACTCTTTTGGTATTCCCCAGCAGATTCAGGGTATGTACAGCTTCTGCCTATTGGGAGGTGTCTGTATGACCTTTGCACAGCTCTGCAGGTGCTCAGCTGTTCTAGAAGCAGGACTCAGACAAACTGAAGTGAAAATACCCTGAGCTCATGCACATCCAGAGTCTTGGTGAGAGCACAGAGCCAACCAGCTAGAGCATCAGCATGAAGTATATGCAATTCTGTTTGCTAAATAGAGGGGATCAGGTTTTAATGTTATTCTGTGAAAATATCTAAGTACAAATATAACTAATTTAACAATCTGATTTTGACACCTAGCATTCATGCCTAGTTCATTATCAAACCTGCAATTAAAAAGTCAATAGGCAGTGCATATCTTAGAAAGGCCAAGTGATAAAACCACTAACTAAAAGTTATTTGTCCTGTTACCAAGTACACCGAAAGCAGAGTTTAAAATGTGATTTAAGAGGCTGTGCTGTCTGCATCCTTGGAGGTCCTTAAAGCTCAGCTGGACAAAGTGCTGAGTAACCTGCTGTAAGCTGGCCCTGCTTTGAGAAGGGGTTGGACCAGGTGACCTCCAAAACCCCACTCCAACCTGTATTATTCATGATTCTATGATCTGATCCCTGATTTCCCTTTCATTTCCCATTTCTGACTCTTTTCAGAGCCTGATGTGACCATTGTGAGTGGCCTGAAGGACATGGTGGTGTTTGAAGGGGATGATGTCACATTCCGGTGTCAGGTTTCTCATGAGAATGCAAGGGATGTCGAATGGAAGCTACAGGATGTTGCTCTGCAAAATAATGAAATGAATGAGATCTCAGTGGAAAAAGGAAAGATTCACACCCTGACATTAAGGAAGGTGACTGAGCAGGACATTGGCACCATCACTTTCCGTGTGGGACATCACACGTCGACAGCAGAGCTCACAGTGAAAGGTAAAAGCTCTCTGTGCTGTGGGCCAGGATCAGTGAGAACAATGATGTTTTGCTTATGCTGATAGTAAATTCAAGGCCATAATTCACCCCTTGTTAACTCACGTTAGTAACATGCTTGTGCTTCAGAGCATCCGTGATGTATTGATGTGGTCTCGTTGACTGTCATCACCGTGGATAGACAGTGGATAGCTCACTAAGGTTCTGAACCTAAATGGTTCCTAGAAATTCCTGTGTTTGCGTCAGTTGTTGGATTGATAGACCTGGAATATTCATTATTCCATTCTCCCTTTTTGAATCATAGAGTTGGGTTGGAAGGGTCATCTAGCCCAACCCTCCTGCACTGAACAGATCAGATGGCTCAGATCCACTTTTCTTTTTCTTCTTTCGAGTCTTTCTTTCTCTAAACATTATTTTGAAGAAATTTTCCATCCAATATCCTTCTCCTTCCCTCTCTGAAGCTTATTTTAATCTCCCATTATATAATACAGAACTTAAAGTACTGTTTTTAGTACTAAACTGTTCAGCTGTAGCTTTAACACAACAAGAAAACAAGACAAAGGTGCCTGGAAATGCCTTTGCTGTGTTTGTCATTTCAGTGCCACCTCCAGTCTTTAAGGAGAAATTGCAGAGCAATTCTAACTAAAACTAAAATAAGACCATTTCTGATGCTTAAGTATCCTTTGAGCTATGGTTCCATCTAGGAAAAGGGTGGTCCAGGTGGAAATGTTCAAACTTGGCCACTCAACTCCAGCTGATGAGCAAGGCACCTAAACACTTGTAGTGGCACAGGTCTTAAAAATAGGTGTAATGTGCCAAAAGATCAATTTTTAAAGATCTATTCTGGTACAAATAGATACTGGTAGATAGATTCTGGTACAGAATCTGGTTAGATTCTGGTACAAATATTAAGGTGACTTTTTCTGAGATACAAGATCAGCAAAACCAAAGATGAACCAGGATGTTCTTGCAAAATACCTTCTTTTGAAATACCCCTTGAGGGCTCTCCCATGAAGGCCATGCACTTACCTGCTATCACACTAACTCCATGATTCAGTGATACCAGAATATTGGGTGCTGTAAGCAGATCCTCTGATGGTGGTTGCCTCTTTGTATCTTTATGTGTGGCCCAAACCACTCCAGCACTCCTTGAAAACATAATCCAAAACCAGGAAGCCAAGAAAGACTCTACAGTCACCCTCCAGCCTTGACCCAGCCATTCCCCATCTGTTGTACAAAATACACCATACATTCTTGCATCACCCACAAGGAACTTCATATCTTTCTCCTTTTATCTATCCTGTGTCCTTTTATCTATCACCCAGTTCCTGTGAATTCACTTTGATTCCTGGAACCCAATTTCCTCCCCTTGTAAACAGCAATTCAGCTGTAAGTGTGGAGCCACTGAGGTTCTTCCAGTGAACTGAACTTGAAAAGCTAAACTTCTACATGCAGTACATTTAAATCAACCCATCAAACTTCCACCTTTACCCATCAGTGAAACACACAGTACAGACTTCCAGAGCTCATCTCTCTTCTGGGTCAAGTTTACAAATAAGGGACATTATATAATGATGCTTCTCCCAAATACCCTAAAACTTAGAAATCAGGTGTAGACTTTTGAGTTGTGGCTGTGGTACCCATTTGGAGATACATGCACTTAGATTCTCAAGCCTCTGTATCCACAGCCATTCCTGTACAAGAAGGAACATAATCCTAGAAGTGCTTGACGTTCAGTGACTCTTCAGCAGTGCAGAGTGCATAGAGTTCTTGGAAATCCAGCACTCTCTGTCATTTCTTGTTTCTGTTTTAAAGCAATTTTGGAATTGAATTGGAACCAAATTTGGAATAGCACCAGAGTTTCACAAAACAAAAGATTTGGTGACACAGTTAGCACTGAAACATCATTTTTCACCCTGCTTACTTTGATTTAGCTTCACCAGTAACCTTCACACAACCACTCCAGAACCAGCAAGCTGAAGAAGGTGGCACCATCACTTTGAGCTGTGAAGTCTCAAAATCAAATACCACTGTGCAGTGGAAGAAGGCTGGGACAGTGCTGCGACCAAGTGACAAATACAAGATGCATCAGGCTGGGTCTGTGGCTGAGCTGACAATTCACAACCTGAGTGAAGCTGATGCTGGGGAGTACACCTGTGATGCAGGGGACCAGCAAACCACAGCAGTGGTGCACCTGAAAGGTGAGGCTTTGTGTGGGGAAGACCTGAGCAGAGCTTGGCACCGTGGCAGGGGCATGTGATTAAATAACTTCTCAGCTAGACATTGTCCTGTACCCAAGATGAATCATGAGGACCTCAGACATGACAGTGGTTTCAGAGGGATAAGAAGTGGGTCAGTTATCTCCACAGAATCAGAAATGAGTCTTTAGTCTCTGATTCTGTGGTTTACTGATAATGTCTCCCACTGAAATCTGTTGACATTTTTTTCATAATACATAGACTTGGATTATACACACATTGAATATTTATTATGCACACCACACAGTATAATTTCCATACTCTTTAGACTATTGTAGAATCATAGAGAGAATATTAAGAGGTTGGAAGGGACATTAGAGGTCATCTAGTCCCAACTCCCTCTGCCCTGGCCAGGGACATCTCCCACCAGACCAGGCTGCTCAATGCCTTATCCAACCAGGCCCTGAACACTGCCAGGGTAGAAGCAGCCACAACTTCCCTGGGCAACCTGTGGCAGTGCCTTATCACACTCCCAGTAAAGAATTTCTTTCTAATATCTAACCTAAACCTGCCCTTTTGCAGTTTAAAACCATTTCCCCTTGTCCTATCACTGTCTGCCCATATCAAAAATCCCTCTACCTCATTTTTATAAGCCCCCTTATGTCCTGGAAGGCCACAATGAGGTCTCCCCACATTCTTTCCTTCTCCATACTTGAACAATCCCAGATTTGTTATTTAGTGCTATGTTCTTTCAAATAACATAGTACTGTAAAGAAAGAGTAGAACAAAATGTTTAACCCAGGAAGCATAACTTGAAAGTAGATCTCAAACTCTGTTGACCTTTCCATAAAGAATCAGCAGCAACCATCGTGGAGATGCTGAAGGATGTCACATCGTGTGAAGGAGAAGATGCAGTGTTTGAATGCAGACTGTCCCGGGAAACAACTCAGGATGCCCAGTGGTTCCTGGGGGATGTTCCCCTGCAATCCAATGAAATGAATGAGATCAGAGTACAAGGGACACGTCACAGTTTGATCCTGAGGAAGGTGACCCAAGAAGACTGTGGGACCATCAGTTTCAAAGTCGGGCAGCACACCTCAGCAGCACAGCTAAAGGTCCAATGTAAGTGTCCTCCTAGGAAAAGGGATCAAGGAGGTACTAGCAGGCACTGTCAACACTGTTTTGGCTTCTAGAGAAATGTATTTGGGATCAGAGGTCCTTGGAAATTTTGGGAGATTCTGCTAATCTAATGTAGCCATTTAAGAGTTAGATATGTACATCTGAGCTAGTCTTTTCAGTCCTTTTTATTGTCCATGGAGTGAAGATTATTATTAACCTCCTTTGAAGACCATCCAACTAAGCAGCTAATTGTATGTCAGAATCAATGCTCACAGGTGTCAAAAATATATTGTGAATTAATCTCCAATTTATGATGGTTTTAGATAATATTGACTCCAAAAATTATGAAGACTCTGAAAACCCTTTTTATTAATGTATATAGAATGATTTTGAAAGTTGGCCCATGCCAATACCTTATGTTGTTTGCTCCTCTTTGATCTGGTTCAAAATGTAGCTATAGACACCTAGTTCTGACCTGAGCGTGGTGCTGGATTAGGCTGTTGCAGCAGTGTTGGTGCCTTCTTCCCCACAGCTGCTTCAGTTGCCTTTGTAAAGGCACTCCACAACTTGGAGCTGCAGGAGGGTGGCACAGCTCACCTGTCCTGTGAGGTGTCCCAGCCTGGTGTCCCTGTGGAGTGGAAGAAAGGGTCAACTGTGATCCGTTCCAGCCAGAAGTACAGCATCAAACAGGAAGGGAATGTACACACACTGGTCATACATGATTTGAACCACGCGGACTCTGGGGAGTACAGCTGTCACACGGCTGATGGGAAGACTATGGCCAGACTAGGGGTTAAAGGTATGGTTTCCTCTTTGCTCAGCAGTGATGAGAGGTGTGCATGTCAATTTTTGGAATTTTCTAGTGCAAGAGAGACAATGATTAGTGGAGCAAGTGCAGTAGAAGTCTACAAGTTTGTCAGGACACTGGAGCACGTGAAGTACAGGGGACCAACTTTTTAGCAGGGCCCTTTAGGATGAGTGTAATGGGTGTAGACTAAAAGAGGGACAATTTAGATTAGATATAAGAAAGATGTTTTTACAATGAGGGTGGTAAAACAACTGGAACAGGTGGCCCAGAGAAGCTGTGGATGCCCTATTCCTAGAAATGTTCAAGGCCTGGTTTGATGGGGCTTTGGAGCAACCTGGTATAGTGGAAAGTGTCTGCCCATTGCAGGGATGTTGGAACTAGATGTTCTTGAAGATCCCTCCCAGCCCAAACTGTTCTGTGATTTTAAGTATAAGGAGAGGCAGGGGCTGTTGGGTTTGTTAAGCATGGGGAAGAGAAGCTTGAAGTAGGACCTCGTTGCTCTCTGCAGCTTCTTGATGGAGGTCTACAGAGGAGGCAGAGACAGAACTTTCTTGAGGAGCTCCATAAACAGATGAGAGGCAACAAGTGCAAGCTGCAACAAGAGAAATTCAGATTAGGAAAAACCCCAACCTTTCACAATGAAGGGGTGGCCAGACATTGAAGCTGAGACCCAGGGGGGTTGAGGAATCTCCATCCATGGAGAACCTCTAGAGGTCCCTTCTGTTATTCTGTAACTGATCCCTATCTGCATGATCTGAAGACTCAGTTCTGCAGGTGTGTATTTTTTGAGTGCATTTATCCTGTTTCATGGTTTTATTTCAAGGATGAAAATCCATTAGGGCTTCAGAAATCATTCCCAGTTAGCTGGGAATTCTTTGTGAAAGGAAATATAGGATAGAGGGGAAGAGATGCAACTTAAATAGCACTGAAATTTTTCCTGCTGGTTAACTCCTCTCTGTCCTTCTCTGTCTGGCTTAGACATAGACATCCTTGTCCCTGGCAGCTCTCCTTAGGTATATTGTGCATGAACTTCATGAATAGCACTATCAATACCTTAAAAATAAAACATTCCTCCATTTCCTACTTTTGCTTCCCCAAGTTATTCTCTTTGCACCATTCCCCTTTTCAAGGCCTGCCTGTGCTTTTCAAACATTGGCTGAAAAATGAGGAGGTGGAGGAAGGGCACACAGCTGTGCTGCACTGTGAGCTGACGAAACCCAATGCACATGTAGAGTGGAGGAAAGGAGATACAGTGCTACAGCCAAGTGACAAGTATGAGATCCGGCAAGAGGGGACACGTGTTGAGCTCTTAATCTATGATGTTGAGGCTCAGGATGTTGGAGATTACACCTGTGACTCAGGGGATCAGCAGACCACTGCATCATTGCAAGTCAAAGGTAGGAGAAGGCTTGTTTGAAGACTGAGATGTCATGGCTGTGGCTGTCCTCCATAGGGATGATCATGGAAACATTTAGGCCAAGTTGGATGGGGCTCTGGGCAACCTGGTCTAGTGGAAGGCTCCCTGCCCCTGGGAGGGGTTTGGAATGAGGTGGTCTTTACGATCCCTTACAACACAAACCATTCCATGAATTAGGTTGAAAAAGACCTCTAAGATCATTGAGTCCAACCAATGAGTTTAAGTTGCCATAAGCAGCTACTGCTCTGAACTTGTGGTTTCAGCAGTTAAATGTCCAGAGCGTTATAAGGAGCAGCTAAGGGAACTGTGGTTTTTTAACCTGAAGAAAAGAAGGCTCAGAGGAGACATTAACATTCTCTGCAACCACCTGAAAGGAGGTTGTAGAAGTTGGTCTCTTCTCCCAAGTAGCAGGCAATAGGACAAGAGGCAACGGCCCCAAGTTGTACCAGGGAAGGTTTTGAATGGATATTAGGAAAAAAATCTTTGCTGAAAGGATGGTCAGGCATTGGCACAGACTGCCCAGAAAAGTGATGGAGTCACTATCCCTGGAGATATTTAAAAGACATGTTGATGTGGCACTTAGGGACATGGTTTACTGGCTTTGGCAGTGCTGAGCTAATGGTTGGACTTGATGATCTTAAAGGTCTTTTCCAGTCTAAACGATTCTGATTCTAATGGTGTGATTAGTACTGTTGTGCCTCTATCTGCTTACACTGAGAATGGTGGGTATGCTCATGTGAAGGCCTTTAGAGGCCCTGTGACCTCTGTCAACCCTTTATGGAACAACAGTAGATGCCTTCACAGTATCAGCAGCTGGTCCCATGAGTGTCTGGCTACGGCACAGCTCAGGGCTTGGCATGGCCAGCAGGAAGGCTGTGGTTCAGAAAGAGAGGAGCAGCCAAACTGGAGAACTTACAAGCAAGTTTTTCATCTCTGAGCACTGTCACTGATGCAGTTGCTTCTCCACTGCAGTACTACCTGTGCTGTTTAACAAAGAGCTGAAAAATGTAGAGACTGAAGAAGGGGGAACGGCTGTCTTGCACTGTGAGACCTCCAAACCACACACTCCTGTTGAGTGGAGAAAAGGAGGGGTGGTCATTCAGCCCAGTGACAAGTACGAGATGAAGCTGAAAGGCAGCATAGCTGAGCTGATCATCCATGGTGTAGAGCCTGATGACTGTGGGGATTATACCTGTAGCACTGGATATGAGATCACCACAGGTTCTGTGTATGTGCAAGGTAAGGTGAAATGCGTTGGAAATGCTCCTACCTGGATTTCTTACTCCAAAATCTTTGACAGTAACTGGCCAAACTTGTCTCAGATGCAAACAGATGAAAGTCCATTCATTTCATTCCTGATTCTAGTGAGGATATAAACACTTAACTCCAGGGATTGGATCAATATTTTTCAGTTAAATGAGTTCAAAATACTGACCATACTGTGTACAATAGCAGATGGTGGTACTGCTGAAAAACTACTTGCTTGAAGCAATGGTCATAAATAATACTGAAATTCTTTCTATACCTGATTACAGCTTCTGTCATTGTCAATATTCTTTTCACTTTTTTAAAGCACTCAAGTAAATACTTAAATCTTAAGCTGCCTCTCTCCCTCCCACTTCATACAATGTCAGTGCAGATGGTTGCAAGGCACAGGAGAGGCAGGCATAATCTGGTCATGGAGAAGAGTTTCCTCCCAAAGAAATGGTGTTTGCAGGCACACACTGTTCTTGCAAGCAGGTGGAGGATGGAAGGTGGTTTCTAACCCCTTAAAGAAAATTTTAACTCTTTTCCCAAGAACAGCACTAAAGTTTAACTCTCCTGGATGACTTGTACTTGGGCTTGGGTTAGTTCTGCAGGGAGCAACATGTATGTGTTTATGCTTTTGTTTTCCTTTGGCACCTTCTCTTGCTCTGTTGTACAGAAGAAACAGCAGTCATAGTTTCTGGTTTAAGGAACACAGACGTCTTTGTGGGTGAGTCAGCCACGTTCACCTGCGAACTCTCACACCCGGGCGTGAAGAACGTGCAGTGGTGGCTCGATGGAACTCCCCTTCACAACAACTTTGTGACTGAAATCTCTGAGCAGGATGGGAGGATCCACACGTTAACCCTAAATGATGTGGCATGCCATGACTCAGGCACTGTCACCTTCAGAGCTGGGTCCCTTATATCTTCAGCTAAATTATTAGTCAAAGGTATTTCCTTGTCAGAAAGAAACACGTAGCCACCTCTGGACTTGTTCCATGTGCTAGTGCTTCTGCCTTCCAGGCTACCCTTACTAAATCTCTTCACACTTCTGTGCCCTGCAACCCTCCACTTCTCCAAGTCACTCATACCCACGCCAGAAGTCTGATAGGTTCAACCACATTGATTTTTTTGCAGTGGTTCAGGTGAGGAAGGGTTGCAGGGTCAGGGCTGCTGCTTTTACCTGACATCAAAGAAGAGTACATGAACAGCTGTAGTAGCACCTGACATTTTATCCCCACTTCAACATTTTTTAGTAACACCACAAAATCTTATGGAGATTGTAATTCTCAAAATTACCAGTGTGCTGCTCCAAAGTCAGGCTAGTGCTGCTGAGGTCAGCATGTTCCCAAGACAAGGCTTTGGGCTGTTCCTAGAAACCAAAGAATATATGATATTTCAGTAACACGGTGACAAAACAAACCTTGTTTGTTGACTACCAGAATAGTAATGGCCATCACTGCACTAGCAAAGCTTTCTGATGTGTTGAATCAATATTTTTCTCATTTGGTAAGGGTAGCCATAAGCTGCA